TGACCGCGAAAACAGCTACCGCAAAAATACATATTCGTGCATCATCACAGGCATGCCCGCAGGCGGCGTATAAAGTTGCATGCCGATTACACAAAGGGAACCCCGTGTTCTAGCTGTGAACATGAAAAAATGGCTGTTCATCACAACACTCCGTCCGGAGGTCCTGACCTCCTTCACGGAGTAATAAGATTTCAACTTCAAGTTTTCAATGAAGAAATTGGTTGATGAAAGAAGAGTCATCCTGCTGCTCATTGATATAGTTGAGGACCACAATGCCACTGCCATAATTTTGTTCTTCCCAAGTTGTCAATTTGTGTTCCCAAAAAAACAACTACATAACTAGAATACCTCTGAAAACATTTCTCTTGGCTTGGAGCTCCTAAATATCTGGAACAACGTATTACTAGTATATAGGTGCTTCAGTAACAACAAGAAGGCATACAAATGATCATAGTCAAGTATTGTTGGCTCTGTCATCAATTTGTCTAAAGTTGACAATGACATGGCACAAATTGAGAAATTATAATCTCAGTTGTGTTCCAAAAAACACTAACATGTATTTACATAACTACAGACCAAGTATTTTGGTCTGTCATCATATATATATAGGTCTAAGGTAAGGTCAGTTCGTGTAAGGTGTACACGACAAATATTAAAATTTCAATCACAGATTTTACCAAAGTCAAGTTGGAGAGCAGGGTTGGAGAGTCTGTTTGGGATTTACCGCTCAACAACTGATTAACATTCATTCGAAAAATCAACCTGTTCTAGATCAAAACACCGCCTCTCTTACAGTCCTTAAGCCTATAGTGGACCCTTGGTGTCTTTTCTACCTGCAAATTTACCTTCCTGAGCACTATGTGACGTATATAATTACCCTGGATACGGTCTTTGATACTCTTAAACTAAAGCAACTCTGTTACTGCCCCCCTCCCCACTCGAACTTACCGGTCGTCTGTCTCCCCTCCTTACAAATCTATCACCTTATCCATGTCATCCTCTACACAAACGGTACTATCGTGTCCCCTCTGTATGCTATCGGCCTCAGAACACTTTTGTTTTAGACTGAAACGCATAGAATTTGACCAAAACACACAGGACAAACCACGTTTCAATCAAAGCTGTTCAGGTCGGGGGTCACATAAAGCCGCCCCTCAGCGGATTACTTAAAAAGTGCACCTCTTAAAATTGGTGTCGTTTTCCTATTTCAGGATCATTAATTTCACCCTCATTGAATGAAATTTGATTGACCCGTGTTCAAATGATTGGTGGCAAAAAAATTGAACAAACAGTTGAATAAATGAAAGTGCTTTTTTATCGAACACGCAAATGCACCTCCACCGGTTACTAAACTATTAAAGTGCAGCGTAACACGTGGGGATAATTGCCGAAACTTATTATCGAAATTCTGTCTTTTTGCGTGATTTAACTTGAAGGAGATTTATCTATAATAGTCCAGAGAGTATCTACGACAATTTAAAGCACAACTTACCACCAAAGCGGACGTGGCGCGTCTTCCTGGGCGTAATTGTTGCGCGCTCGTTCTTCCCGTCCATGTTCACTCGCCATCTTGGAAAGCTAAAGTAAAGGCGTGTTTCACGCACGTGTGTCATGCCACCTGTAAATCATAAGCAAAATTTGCATTCGATAATCAAGTTTTAGATTAGATTTACGACAAGCCAATAGGCAATCATCACAGATACAGGCCTGAAAAATACGATGATTTGATTATGACTTTCATCTTACAAATTCGAATTTTTCAATTTTTCTATCCTCATCATTCAACTTTATAAATTTAGGAAAACACATTAGTAATTTTCCAATAAATGATCTTTCTTTGACGCATTTATCTTTTGATTGCGATAACAACAGTTTCTAGCTGTAGGTGACAAATTACAAACATTACAGCTAAGTGTTATATATATAAGTTATATATATTGCGATAAATGCCTGTAGGAATACGTCTATAATGACTCGGTACAACAAGAGTAAGTTGCACACGACGTACGTGTTAAATATTACTATGATTTGCGTTTAGATCTTTGAGTGTTCATTTCTCTTTATCGACGATTGTTAAACTGAACATTCAATGCTTCCCATATGTAATAGTATCAACGATAAGATCACAAAGTTACAAAGTATAGCCGAATATAACCGAAACGTCCGCAATTTGTGACTAAAAGGACGCTTCTGGCGTCCAAAATTATACAATAAAATGGCCATTTGACAGTTCTTAGCTGAGCATTAATTCGATTAAAAGGCGGGCCAATAAAATCAACGGATATCGTCTGATAAATAGTCTAAAATATGCATATATTAAGTCCAGGTGCCGCATACGTCATGCGAGGTAGTTACGTAATCTTCCAGGCGAATCATGTGGATACATGTATGCATGATTAAATGTAGGCAGGATTGGGTGTAAATCTAAGCGTTTAAAGTAAAAATAACGCAAACGATTATAGAACTATTTGTTGCAATATTTTCTATATGATCCTTATTCTCGTCTTTGTGTTTTCTGGACGCTTAGAACTGATAACAAGAACAAAATCAAGGAAATATGTTCAGTAACGAAAAATAAAACAAACATCAATAAAACGCATAAACTTTTCGTTCCAGTTTTTCCGCCAAACCCTTTCTAGAAGTGTAATAGTATTCATACCTGAGGTGTCCAGAAGAATCTTTCCATCCCTGGCGAACGTGCACTCTTCTTTACAAAGTTTGCTCCCTCACGTTTTAATTAATCGGATGCTGTGATGCATCCACGCCACAGGCGCCATTATGGCAATTCATCACACGTGTCAATGAGGGCCTCTAGCAGTTCATGGAATTATTGCAGGTACTTGAGGGGATTTTTACATGCAATAATTTCACCGACTGCTAGAATTCACTTTTGATACATGGCACAGAGGGTCATTAGCCTATGTATCCTTGATGCTGATTGGTTATCATCACGGCAACGTTTTTGAGTCATTGAGCCTGATTGGCTAATACAATTCCTCGTTCGTGGCGTGTCACTTTACGACCAAATATGGGCTACCGACTTGAAACCATAAAGCCGCTTTACGTAAACAACTGAATTTACGAAGGATTTTCGGACGAACGGGACTATTGCGGGCAATAATGTTCCCCCAGATAAGCTACAGAGTTGTAAGAACTGCATTTACAGAGAAAGGGAGCCGATTTATGAGGTTAGGAGAGGTGAAACTGCTCGGCAACGGCGTAATATTACTACGCACAGGGGAGGGGGGCATTATGTAGGGATGGCTTTCAGCACCAAGGACAGGGATAGCTTCAGTTTGAACCTGGTCTTTTCTTCATGACAACAAACTGAATATTATCACACTGACGAGGAATGTACGAAGGAAATCAATTTGTGAATTTTTCGGTGTCATTCTCAATATCATATCAATGGAAACAGAGTCTCTGCCAGGCGTATAACTATGGCAATCCCCAAGCTGTTACGATTTTACCTTCCACCATGCATCTGCTTGGTTTCCATTCATATGGTAATGAGATCGACACGGAAAATTCACTTCTGCAAAGACTGTGACCACTTCTGCAGATGATTGCAAAATCACGTTTTGATGTATAACTTAAGAATAATATAGAATGGTTTATTATTCGATACAAACTCATCGCAGCTCATGAGCTGAATTGTGAGTTCACATGTACATATACAAATTTCTAAAAGTTGACATATACAATCGGTCTAAAAGTTTGCAAATGGCGATCAGGTGACAATACATATTTAAAAGATGTAATACATATTTAAAAGAAGCGATATATATTTTTAAAAAAGATACAATACATATTTAAAAGATACCAACTAATTTTCGAAGATACCAATAAATTATCTAAATGCCACAATTGTCTAAATGCCATCGTTTAACAGGTTTACAAACTGTAGAGGACTATTTTGGTAGCAATTAGTACTTGTTGGCAATGGGTCATATTTGTGACTCCCGCATATTTGTGACACACTCACAATTACCAATGTCACAAGCTTCAATAGTCCTATCATGGAATGCAGCTGATTTATATAATTTCCCCATAAATTATGCAAATTACATCCATATTTGCATAATTGTCACATGATTATATCAAGCATTAGCATCATGTAAGCTACCTACATACCAAAAATCATGATGATCTGTCAACCATTTGCTGAGTTATCCTCTTTTGAATAATTCAAAACAGGTAGCCCTGCAGTTCCAGAGCAAGCCAGTAGGGGGCCGAAACTCATGTCACTTCTTCCTCAGCACAAGAGCTAGTCCTACCATCCCCATTTCGTCACCCCAGCATGTCTAGATCATGAGATATCAAAACTGGAAGTTCAGCTGCAGTACCATAACAAGCTGCTAGAGGCTCCAAAATCTAATCATTTCCAGGTCTCATCAAGACATACCATCCTACCAAGTATCAAGACAATCCATTTAAAGCCTTATAAAGTTATCGTGTCTACAGACACACACACACATGAACACCTCTGAAAACATAACCTTCTTGTCGAAGGTAATAATGTGCGTATTATTCATCTCTATACTCCAACATATCTCTACTTCCAACATAAATTGGAAACCAAACCAATGGAAGCTTTATGATATATATATATTAGCTGATTACACAGAACTGAGTCAATATTTTCTTCTTGACTAGCCCATCTTATCATAACTCAACCATTTTACTACCAGTGGTAAGAGATGCATATTAAGTCTTAACACTTACATGTAATTTGATTCATTTCAACAGGCAGTAACTATGACACAAATTACACAACAGCTCCTGTCTATCCATCAAGTCATTCATCAAGCAGCTATAGAATGGGCCTCCTAGTTTTTAATTCATTCATTCATTCATTCGTTCTTTATTTCAGGTAAAAAAACCCATATAACACATTGTACATTATACATCATTAAAATAATACAAAAACTCTACAGACATACAAATAAAACAGGAAGAAACCTAAAAGCATGATAAATGGCTTAATAGTATGAATAATAATATGATAATAGTATGAATAATAACTGGCTTAATAGTATGAATTTACGTCATCTACAGCATGTCCTCTTCATAGACACTTGGTTTGAAGATTTCCTGAAAAACGACACATGAACTGGCATTTATAATTTATAACATCCATATCTAAATCACATAAAAGCTAAAACTGTGTTGAAGTTGTCCTGTCAAAGAGCCAATTTGCATGTCTTTTGAATGAATGACTGAATGAATGATATTAATTGTGCCATGCAGGAGGTGACAGTCCATCTCTTGTACTGAAGTCTCACTTTTAATATTAAGTCTTGTGGTGAATTTTACCGAGGGGTTTGGCCAGATTTGTATGAGGGACTGCAAGCCCTTTTTCCTAAGGGGTAATCAGGCCGTTTTAGACTTTGTAATTCGTAGGCAGCCTCCGCAAAAATCAACGTAAGTCTTAATTGGACATTAGCCGCAAATCGTAAAGTCGGAATCAGCTCTGAGACTTTGACGTAATTTGTAATAGGCGGCGAAAATTTTGCGTAATTCGTAATCACTACCCCCCCTTGCAGGCCCTCTTGTATTATTTGTATTCTCTCTTTATTCTCTTTATATCAATACCCTTTAGCCAGAAGGCTTAAAATCTTCTAGGGTTCAAAAACATACATGCAACAGATAACATAGTAAAAACACATGCATATAACACAAAATTTACACTATACACATATACTACTACATATACATTTACACTGAGTATATACAATGTACAAAATTAAAAATGAAGATTCAAAATCTAAAAACTAATCACTGAAAGTCTTATTGTTTGAACATTTGGCGGATAGCTCTTAAAGATAGCTGTGTATGCCCATGGGAAGCCTTGGTGCAAACCACATAAAGCTTATAGAAGATAGATTTTTAACAATAATTACCTTGTTCAGTGCCAACATGCCACTAAAGATCCCTTCCAGAGAGACAGCGGCTGGCCGGTGGTTTGGGCTCTCCTGCCAACAGGACAGCATCACCTGGTACCTGTATGTTAACATGTAATGTTATCACAATTACATACGTATTGTTTAATGTAGTTTTAGGACTCTTGGCACATACATTGTATGACAAGGTGTAACAAAGTTAACACACATGACATTTGAAGATATTTAAAATATGAATGTATGGACTTGGCACCAAGAAGAAATTAGTAAATGAAGAAGGACCCAATCTAATCTCTTTAAAGAGCAAGACAACCTCTATTTCACATGCAAAAGCTTCTACATTGTTTGCTGAAGACCTACATGTAGGCAGTCATTGGTACATGTCTTCCCTTCTGCAATGTAGATTAAGATATTAGGCCACACCAATTTAATTTGTTAGTTCTCTGATATTTTCAGAAAAAATATGAAGCGAAAGGGCAAAAAAATGAATAAAAACAGGTCTAGGCGTCCTAATATAGCCGCAAATGCTACTATATGAGCCATGAAGTAGCCATAACAACACAAAAGTCAGGGTTAACAATGAATTGTGAACCTTTAATCAAACCACTGCATTGATAGATGGGAAAACTGTGACAACTAGGAAGAAAAGGACTTTCCTCAACTGTTAGGGACAAAATATGAGCATTTTTCAGTTGTCAATGATTCTAAACCAAAATTGTTTTTTTTTTGCAAATCAGAAAAAAACAAAGAGGCAAATCCGAGAACCAACAAATTAAATTGGTGTGGCCTTATAAGAATGTGGTAGATGTATGTAGGCTTACACAGCATCGCTGCACCTGGATGGCTGTGCCATGCGCTCCTTGTTCCTGATGAGGTACCGCAGCAGCTTCTGTTGGGAGGTGATGTAAGGGTAGGGCGTGGCACCTAGAGTTGCCATCTCCCACAGCACGATGCCAAAAGACCAACTGCAGAAAAGATAACAACAGTCAGATCCCAGTTCACCATCGTTTTTCAGCAAAATCATTGGCAATGTGTCTTTTCGTAGTTAGGCCACAGCAAGTAATTTCTATGGATGACATCAATGCGCTCAATACATTAATTTTCGCCTGATTTTGAAAAAAAAAAAATTTTGTTGCCTTCTGACAGTGGTCAACATGCCGAAAATGGGCAAAAAAAGATGCCGAAAGTGGATGGCAGATAACTATAAAGAGAGGAGACAAGAGAGGAGACAAGAAAAGGCTCTGATTTAATGTTATGTTTCTTACTTTGATGCAGTGATACATGTATGTGATGTTGGCTGTGTAGATGTCAGATTTTCTCACTGAATCGAAATTATTTGTACAATGATTGAGCCAAATTTTAAAACGCAGGAACCTTGTTTTTTTTGGCCCGCCTTGTTTTTTGCTTGCATTAGATTTGGAGTCTGCGGAGGATGTCATCCAATAAATGTTTCTAAAATAGACATTAGTCACAAGCATCTGTCTGTATTACTAACATCCTTCATACTTGTTAAGTGGTAAGATAAAGCCATGTTAACTCACACGTCACTTTTGCTGGAAAACTCATCATCATACCGCAGGCACTCTGGAGCCATCCATCTCCAGGGGAGGGGGTCTTCATTCTGAAAAATAACAAAAAACAGAGTACATGACTTTGTACATTATATGTTTAGTCAGTTAAAACTATTGGTCCAACACAAAAAAGTTCTCTCACTTTTTTTTTATGTTGGACCAAAAGTTTTAACTCTAAACATGTAACTACCAACACAGATGAACTTTCATGATAGAGTACATCATAAGTCATAGGTACAATTAGTGTTTGTATTGGGTAAATTGCTCTGTTGCCACTGGATTAAAGCCTTTACCATATGAATGTATCAAAATAACAAACAGTTAATCCATGCAAGTCTGTTCATCTTACACCTCAATATACATGTATATACACAAGCAACAATATTGTTGAAGGTGAAACTTTTTTGAATGAAGTATGTCATCTTTTCCAATTTTAACTAGAAACAATAAGATTGTCTGGTGGGGTCTTGTGGCATAGCGGCGGAGTGCTCGACTCAGAACCAAGAGGTCCTGGGTTTGAATTCTGACATGTCACTGATCTTGTGCCCTTGGGAAAGACACTTTGCATGACGTTCCTCACTTTGCTCAGGTGAAAAAAAAGTTTGTCGTTTTCTATAGAACCTGGTCCTGACAATTCGTTACCTTTGTTTCTGACAGCTCCCGGTAGATTCCACAGGATAGACCAAAGTCGGACAGTTTTGCCACATTGTCGTTGGAAATGAGGATGTTTCTGGCAGCCAGATCCCTGTGAACGACCTGAACACAGCATCACATAACTGATGATAATCCTTTTGCCCAATTTATACCTGCTCATGATACATGGCATTCTTAACATTGATGCTCCTATACACATTTCAGAGCTGTAGACTATTTTCTACATGAATATATAAATATGGGCAACTAATATGGTCTCTCTCTCTCTCTCTCTCTTTATATATATATATATATATAATAAAGGTAACATTTGCAAAGAAAATGCATAATGTTTACCTTCATATATGGTCTGCTCTGTTAATTCTTATTCAAACACATTCATGTACATGGTCAGACAAGAGTCTAAATCCCTCCTGCTATAAAATTGCAACATGATGTAACCCAACACTACCGGTAGGTACCATGGTGACAGACGGTCTGGTTCAGGTCATTGACCTCATTGGTTTGGAGAAGAAGAAGAAGAAGAGGAAACTTAGAAAACGCAATATGTTTTCCTTCGGTAAACATAATTAGAAATGTACAGTGTATAATGATGTGGAGACAAGAATACGGTATGGTTTTGTGGCGGGGGATATTGTGTTTGACTCACCTTGCTTCTGTCCAAGTAGGCGAGTCCTGACACCACGTCCCTGGCATAGGACAGACACTCCCGACCGAAGGATGACGGGATAGTTGCCTTCATGTTGACAGCTCTTAACAGTCCCTGTAGATCCCTCTTCCCGACATACTCCAACAGAATGTAGATCAGACCTAGGAGGAAGGGCCATTTGTCTGTTCGATCATTTTGAATCATATTTATCCTATTGTTAAACTGATTAACCATATTACACAGTGTGGTTGTGTGGTATGTTTACCTGTGTGTGGATGGTGTTCAGTACCAAGGAGAGGTATGTTTACCTGTGTGTGGATGGTGTTTTACCTGTGTGTGGATGGTGTTCAGTACCAAGGACAGGTATGTTTACCTGTGTGTGGATGGTGTTCAGCACCAAGGACAGGTATGTTTACCTGTGTGTGGATGGTGTTCAGCACCAAGGACAGGCATGTTCTACATGTGTGTGTGTGTGTGTGTGTGGATGGTGTTCAGCACCAAGGACAGGCATGTTCACATGTGCGTGTGTGTGTGTGGATGGTGTTCAGTACCAAGGACAGGTATGTTTACCTGTGTGTGGATGGTGTTCAGCACCAAGGACAGGTATGTTTACCTGTGTGTGGATGGTGTTCAGCAACAAGGACAGGTATGTTTACCTGTGTGTGGATGGTGTGCAGTACCAAGGACAGGTATGTTTACCTGTGTGTGGATGGTGTTCAGCACCAAGGACAGGTATGTTTACCTGTGTGTGGATGGTGTTCAGCACCAAGGACAGGTATGTTTGCCTGTGTGTGGATGGTGTTCAGCACCAAGGACAGGTATGTTTACCTGTGTGTGGATGGTGTTCAGTACCAAGGAGAGGTATGTTTACCTGTGTGTGGATGGTGTTTTACCTGTGTGTGGATGGTGTTCAGCACCAAGGACAGGTATGTTTACCTGTGTGTGGATGGTGTTCAGCACCAAGGACAGGTATGTTTACCGTGTGGATGGTGTTCAGCACCAAGGACAGGTATGTTTACCTGTGTGTGGATGGTGTTCAGCTACTTTGAATACTTGCTCAGACCTAACATCTATGGACAATGAGATGAATACAACACATACCCTTGGTGAGGATGATGCCACACAACTGAATGATGTTAGGATGACCGCCGTCTTCGGTAAGGTCCAGCAGAACCTTCAGTTCCCGCTCGAAACTGTACTTCCCTGTGCTTCGGACGTTGTCTAATTATAAAGAATTAAAAATTATAAAGAAGTATATCAGAAATATACCATGTGCAGCAGTGTTTCACGACTTCTGTGAATGAACATGTGACAAAGGCAGTGTTGGGCGTGTGGGAGTCTTATTCGATGCCTAATCGTTCGACCGTAGAGGCACCACAGATTCATCTGACAACCATTTTTCTCCACCCTTAGCTTAGGGTAAGAGGTCTTCATACAGGCGCCTATACTTTGACTTTGTTTTGTACTTCTCTGGGATATGGTGTGGTCTCTGAATGTGAAGATGAGAAATCTTATTTTGTCGGATGGTATCTGTATCTGTATAGCCGGTATAACGGCCCTTCGGCATAACACACCAGCTTCACAGGCACGCGGCGCGGCGGCAGCTGGCTACATTACTCTGTCGGATCGACTTGTTACACCTTACCCTTGAACATCTAACTCTAGACATTGTTTAAAGCTATCTAATGACAATACTGTAATTGGTGACGGTGAGTCAGCGATAGTTCTAGCAAAGAATGAATTCTTGAACACCTCAAGCCTTGGTTGGTAACTCTGGTACTTGAAGGCATGGTAAAGGATGGTAAAGAAAATGCAAAATATTAAACTGACCTCCACGTAAGCCCTTGGCAGCTAAGATGCTACTGGTTCCTCCTTCCTTCACCTGGGCCCTGACCACGTGACCAAACTCGCCCTGCCCAATCTGATCAAGAAACGTGACGTCACTAGGGTCCTTCATCCACTGGCTTTGACGGACTCTGTCCAAAAGATCCTGTAAAAGACATCAGATATTTTTCACCAACTTGTTGCTGGTCTACTGTTATTACAGCTTAAACATGGATGATATCCTCTAGGAATCCCAAAACTGATGCGAACGTGCGAATAAAAAGAAGTTGCGTTTTATGAAATCTACGTGGTTATGAAGGTCGAACAAATGATATGGCATGGCGAATAATCTACTCTTCAAATTAATTTCTTTGCATTTTCGTTTTTTGTTTGATTTTGGCATTCTACTACATTGGAATCGTTTTCAAATATTTTTTTCAACTTTCGGTATATATTTTCTCATTTTGCAACTGTTTTGTACGATTTACAGTGTGGTTGGAAACTTTTTTTTGGGGAAACGGCCGAAAATTCATGCGCACGTGGATGACATCCATATAATCAAATCAACATGGCCTAATCAATCAATCAATCTAAACGTTGATTTGACGTCAAAAGCATATTTTATGTCTTAATAAGAGCAAGAAATTGAACACTTTAAATTTGATTACAATCAACATGTCGTCCACGTGGCATTGTGCATCACTGAATTGCATTGAGTTTCACACGTCCCAATGTAACTGGTACATGTACTAATATCAGTTACCTCTGAAAGACCAAAGGAGTGTTTTTGTGGAGCACGCCTTCTGAGCCAGTACACTAGAACTCCAGCTGCCGCAACCACGACAAGCAACACGACTACAGCTATCACAGGTGTGGTCCAGTCGTCTGCGGACTGCGCATTCGGAAGAAGAGCCGTTGGTGCTGGTGTTGAAGTAGTGACCCCTGTAGGTGGTGGTAATGTAGTCTCTGTTTGGGGGAAAAGATATTGATGATGACTGGCTTATTATTCACATAAACATACAGGTTAAAACTCTGTGGCAGCCTAAATCGCTGAATTGCCAACTTCTTACAATTTAAAGTCTTGAAGAATGTTATTAATACAGGCTCAGACTACATATACATATAAAATACAATATCAACAGTACAATAAAACTATTCGGTAAAAAGTACGATAAACTAACAGTACTGTAAATCAAACAAAACAGTTGCAAAATGAGCAAATATATACCGTAAATTGCAAAAAGATTTTAAAAAAACGACACCAATGTCGTAGAATGCCAAAATCAAACATAAAAAGACGAAAATGTAAAGAAATGAATTTGAAGAGTAGATTATTCACCAAACCATACTGTGTCATTTGTTCAACCTTCATAACCACATAGATTTCATAATGAAAGCAACTTTTTTTTTGCAAAACTTTTTTTTATTCGCATGCGCGCATCAGTTTTGGGGTTCCCAGTGGATGTCATCCATATATTCAATTTAAGCAACATGGCCTTACCACAAGTGTCCCCGGTCCATCCTTGTCTACACACACATCCGTCGAAGCGGTGACACAGTACAGAGTTGACGGAGCAGTCACAGCGCAGGTCGCAGCTAACTCCCCGCCAGCCAGCCGTGCATTCTGTCGGTAAGGGTGGAAACATTACAGCTAACTATGGGATGATATACGCCATTCTTTTTACAAAACCAACCCCAAAGGAGTGAGGTGTCGTTTTGGCTTGCCTGTCTGCATGTCTGCCTTTCTGAGTCTTTTCTAGATCTCTCTAAACGTGTGCGCGTGTTAGTGTTAGTGTGTGTGTGTGTGCGTGTTAGTGTGTGTGTGTGTGTGTGTGTGTTTACAATTCTCATTTTACACATTGGTGACTGCTTAAAAACAACCTCATATCATTTTAGGTATGGACAGAGCCCATAGCTCCACCCCTCAGACGAAAACAAGAAATGCAATATGATAACGGAAATACATGTGTATGAAATTGTAACAGACCCGTATCCACTCTGTCAATGATGACAAATGAGATTCAACCATAGTGGTAAATGTAAATGTCAGGTCGGTCTGGTAATTTTTGCAAAAGACACGAGGCAAGCACACAATAAATCTCCCACCTGTAACATCCAGCGTTACTGTGTCAGAGTCAATACTCCCGTCTTGGCTCCTCGCCTCACATGTGTACTCTCCATTGTCTGCATCCGTTATATTATCGATAAAGACACGGCTGAAAATGAGGGGAAGGAAAAAATACAGACGTCAGAAATATACTAATGATATTACACTTTATGAAGCTATTACTACTGACGGTTTGAGGAATGGTGGTTTTCAGGGTACGTTGTCAAGTTAGCTATATAAATTAAATACAGAAACGACATATGTTATAACAGATTTGAATTATATTAGACCTGTAATTCCAGACCTGAAAAGGACAGACATGAATCAAAAGATCTGGAAGACCGAGAAAAATTACTTGAAGCTATTGAAATCTTATTTTTTTTGTGCGGATGTCTCGTTTCCTCTGAAGTCGTAGACTACAAGTAAAATAGTCTATCTGTTCACATAATTAAACATTATTTCACTGCCACTTTCAATCGCTCAAGACCATGCTAAGATACTGGTAGCATACGATCACGCAAACATACATGTAGGACAGACGGGAAACAATGGGAACACTGGCTTAATCTCCAAGCAGATCCTAGGGTCTCAAAAAATAGAGTTTAAAATTGGCCAGGCAGTACCCAATTGGCCAGAGAGGGTAGCGAAGAAAAAATGGGCCATTATATATATATATATATATAGGTAGCGAGAAAAAGTCGTTACTTATATATATATATATATATATATATAAGCTAACGATCATTCACCCACAATCAATATATATATATATATAAAGCTAACGATCATTCACCCACAATCTCTGCTTGTAGAGTAGTACTTCATTACATGTAATTAATTTTGTCAGTGATCACTTTTTCTCACAAATTCAGTTATCAAATCTAGTGCAGCCGGAATAAAAAAGGACTGTCAATTTACCGTTAAGCATTGTCTGCCTCGTTGAATTTACCGTTAACCGTTGCCAGGACTCCCCCATGCAGACCCTCATTTAGCATTGCTATTGCTCTGGACCTACCTTTCTATGTATGTTGGATGCTGTACTACCGAGTAATTCCGGTTCAGCACTTCATCTCCAAATCGCCACGTCACCGTCCTGTCTCCCATGTTCACCACCTCACAGACAAGTGTGGCGCTCTCCGTGATGTACAGCGTGTGCTCCGGCTCTATCCTAGCCGTCACTCGTATGTCAACTGTAACCAATGGCAGCATGATTTGTTTTTTGATGAGGCCGTGTTGATTTGATTATATCCTATGGATAACATCCGCGCGTGCATGAATTTTCGGCCGTTTCCAAACAAAAAAAGTTTTCAACCATACTGTAAATCGTACAAAACAGTTGCCAAAACAGTTGCCAAAAAAAAGGAAAACGATACCAATGTCGTAGAATGCCAAAATCAAACGAAAAAGATGAACATGTAAAGATATGACATTTAAGAGTAGATTTCATAATGAAAGTAACTTTTTTTCTTTGCCAAACTTTTTTTTATTCGCACGCTCGCATCAGTTTTGGGGTTCCCAGAGGATGTCATCCACATAATCAACTCAGCATGGCCTAATGTACCAGTTTGTGTGTTTCTGACAATCATGCTTTTTACATATGTCAGATTGTACCTCCAAAGACTTGATAGCAGAACGCGTTATATGATCTTGATGTACATGTAAATAACATATGCGTCCACAGAACGAACCTATGTAGCAGGTAGGCCCAGTGAAACCGATGGGACAGTGGCAGGCCCCGTTGAACGGGTGACAAGTCCCGCCGTTCTGACAAGCACAACTTCCCGTGCAGCTTGCTCCGTAATAACCTACAGGGCAACCTGAAAATATAATGAACAGATAAAATACAAAGTGGTCACCTTTTCAGCTTTGACTTTGTTTGAGTTGTGTTTTACCTCCATGAAAAATTCTGCACATTTTTAGTCAGCATAACTTCAGAACGCCTTTATGGATTTTGATGATATTTGGTATGTTGGTAGGTCGTAGGAAGACAAAGGTCAAGGTCAAATATGGACATTGCAATTTGACAAGAAATGCAAGAAAATGTCAAAGCAGGACACTTTCACATACCTAATGTCATGCAAGAATGAACATATAGTAGATAAAGTATGTAGGTATGTAACTATGTGTTTCAAGAGGAGAGAAGAAACAATGGTTATTAGTAGATAGACAATAGTACACAGTGTTATCTTAATAGATAGAATTTTAATATTTGGCGTTAGAACGTAATGTTGAACTGTTCTGTACTAATGTCTCACATGCTCTGGACAACATATGGTCACATGTGCATTCAGTCCATATGGACAGGAATATGCAATAAAGATTCATATCATATCATTATTATGCTATGCGCTCAAATAGTTTCAATGACAGATACCTTCGTAATCGACAGTCAAGTCCATACTCAGCGGTCTCCAATCGTTCACCTCCCCGCTAGCGGAGACCTGGCATTCCCATGTATTCCGTGCATACGGACCCCTGGTTTCTTTTGTCGTCAAATAGTTCCCAGTGAATCGCAGATGAAAATCGTCGCTCCCGTCCACCTGAGGCAACGTACAAACGGCTCTAGTAGTAAAAGTAACTATATGTACATCACCTGATGTCAGAAGCAACCATCATATTTATGTTTACCGAAGGAAAACATATTGTTTTTACTCAGTTTCTTCCTCTTCTTCTTCTCCAAACAGCGACCTCTGACCTGACCAATGACATGATTTGTTTACGTCTGTCACCATAGTGACTGGTGTTGGGTTACATAATGTTGCAATTTCACGGTTTCCTCTGCTCCTGTCACCCTATACTAGTAGTATATGTATGTGAATGTGTTTGAGTAAGAATTAACAGAGCAGACATGTCCGAAGGTAAACATTATGCACTTGCTTTGCAAATGTTACTTCTCTAGTTACTTGACTTATCGCTATTATGCTACCATTACCAGGCGTACGTGCCAAACGATGATCACGAGATAGCTGAAATAACACCTGAAGTTAGATATGTAGGGCTCACTCCACAACAAGTCGAAATGACCCTTTATCATCATCAGTAAATGTATCATGTAGTGCAAAAGCAATTCACATTCATAAAACTGGTGTGGATAGCACTTATCTAACTGGCACACAAAATACAGAGTTAATCACAACATATCATATCAATAATGTACTGCTAAAATTTGTATTGGTACCAAATACGAGATACTGACTTTGTCGAAGGTGAAGAAGTTATCAGGCGCATATTGGTCGTCCGGTACTCCGGGAAACTTGATGATGCAGCCGTACGATTTCTCCTCTATCTTCTCCAGTCCTGGCAGGTCACTGGAATCTGCCAAGATCTTTACGGTGAAGCCCAAGTGACCTGAGCGGTATATATACAAGAGGCTTTTATTACCTTCGCCAAGAATTGACGAAGGTTATGTTTTCCTGGCCGTGTGTCTGTGTGTCTGTCTGTGTGTCTGTCAACAGCATAACTCAAGAAAGCTTAGATGGATTATCTTGATTTTTGGTAGGTGGATAGGTCTTGATGAGAGCTCGAAATGATAAGATTTTGGACCCCCTAGCGGCTTGTTATGGTACTGCAGCTGAACTTCACTGAAAGTTTTTGAAAGTTCATTGAAGGTAAACATCATTAAACTTAATGTATTCAAATTAGGGCATCATTTGCATAATTTATGAGGAAATGCTAGAATGGCATTGTTTGTTAATATAAGACTTTTGGTTGAGAATATGATAAACTGATATAATTTATGAAAATTAGGATGCTATTTGCACAATTAGGGGGAATGATCTATAATTTGTCAGCCATAAAGATTAACATCATTCAATGGCGAAGGTATGAGATCGGGGAACTCTAGTTTTACAATGTATCGATAGCATTCTATTCATCTGTAGTGTAATGGAAAGCTTGGTCATTTTCTTAAAAGAGGAACAACATGTTCAAGATTTTTAATCATCACCATCAACATCTAGGTTTTTTACAGATGATATTGCATAATCCCTAAAATAATTTTGACAACAATTTCACGTGATTATGTGGTATTGAGCTGGCCATAGTACGTGGCAGAGTGGCGATAGGCAGCCCTGTGTAAAATACAAGGGCCACATCATGCCCGTAGAAGAACAGGAAGAACCCGCCCACAAGGCTCAAAGGTCCACTTTTTGGTCCACATTTTATGTAAAGGTCCACTTATTGGTCCACTTTTTATGTAAAGGTCCAAGATTTTTCTTGAAAAGATGGACTGGAATCGTAGAAAAACTGCTCCCTTTGTCATTGAATAAAATTTATCTTGATTTTTTCTTGGAAATCCTCTCAAAAACGCACGAAATGCCATTTTAGAAGGTTCATTTTTCACAATTTTCCGGAGGAGCATGCCCCCAGACCCCCCTAGGAACTTCGGCGCTCGCCTCGCGCCTACGGCGCTCCAGGTCCCCCCAAGCAGTGGGAAGAACCCCTCAATTCAAAATCCTGGCTACGGGCATGCACATTTTCCTTTGATTTCTAGTCAAATCAGTCCATACAGAATCTGTGTAGGTCGCACGTAACATACATATATACTCACACAGATGGTCGTCTGTGTCGAGTCCGTTCGTCAAGTCGGAAGATGATACAATTTTTGTCCGCTTCTCTCCGCTGTAGTATCGAACTGTCACGGTAAGTCTGAACGGACCTACCAGGTCCTACCGAATAAACATCAACAAACCAGTCAACAATAATACTTACAACCGGGCTACCAACAACAACAACAACAAAGACAGACTTTAGACATTCTAACGTAGAAATTGTAAAATCATGATGGGGTCAGGATATCAAATATTAGCCTTTGTGGCTTTTCTTCCACCCCTTGCACGTTTATTTCAATCTTTGTTTTGTATAACTTTTGTTATGTATGTGCTAATAGATAATAAATAAAAAATAACAGACAAGCTTATTAGGCAATAGACTAGATTCACAATCAATTGTAATTAATTGAATTAAACGAAAACCTGTATCTGCACAGTCTTGTGGATAGAGGAATTTATCTTGAATGTGGAAATATCCAATCTTACAGCATCATAGGCACTAACACACCCCCTCCCTTCCCACCCCACATGGCACGTTCGTAGCCTTGACTTTGGTCTGCCTAAATTTGCTATGACAGTTTAACGCATGGCAGTTAATGACACCGTCTTAGCTCCATAGTTGTCGGTGGCGTGGTAAAATTTGACTACAACAACTAGGGGTTAGAACAAGACCACAGGTAGCCTGGTATCCAGTGATTGGGGGTATTGGGGTGTTCAGGCAGGTTGTGTCTTCGGGGGCTCTAATAGCTTCCCCCGCCCAGTGCAACAGACCGCCCCGGTAGGAGAACTACGCTAACAAGAAACAGTATGCTTGGGGATTTGGTTTCCCCCAACACGTGGAGGGCTAATCAATCTCTCGTGATATACACACCGGGAAACCTATGTGAGGCGGGCGGGACAGAGCTCTTTCAGTCCCGACCACGATCAGACTGAATACCAGGCTAGACCACAGGGCGAATGGGAAAGAAACCTCCTCAGACGATGTACATAGATTATATTAGGTAATGATCGATGACGTGGGTCCAAATTGAAAACAGAATTCACACATTCGTCACGATCTGCCTATCTTTTCATCCTACCGTGAGTCGTGTCGTCTTGCAAGTGTTACTTTCAAGTGTTACTTAAATTGAAACGTCATTGTACGTTCGAACTGTACATAAGGTTAGGTAGGAATGTTTGGAATTGATATACCAACGGATCTTAGTATTAACTGTCCTCACAAGTACTAGTTAGAGATGTATGAAAATCGAAAGCAGTATGTCTTTACTTCCGGGTTCGTATCTGACTTTCTTCGTGTGTTGTCGTTCTTACCTGTGGTGATCTGGTACTGAACACACTTTGGGGTGGCAAAGAGCACGTGTTGTTGAAGATCTGACAAGAAAAATGACAAAAAAAATTAATTTAGTGCTCCGACGTGGCTTAAAATTGTCCAGTGTGCAGAACGGTAGTGTAACCCCGGCCCCCCTCTTTGCCCCGACTGGGGTATTCTGAGGTAATTTACTGAGAAACAATTTTAATGATTATATGCGTGTTTCATACATGATCTGTAATGTTAAACTGCCTCTAAAGAAAGGTGACCTATCACAAAATACAAGACTTGAACTTGTCGTTCCCAACACTAAATATAAACATTCCATTTCCTTTTCAAGGAAATCCCTCAGTTAACAACTAAATTATGATATATATAAGTGTGTCTGCATCGAAAATACGATAGGAGCCCAAAAGCGTGCCTGTTCGTGGTCTAGTATACTCCTAGTGAAGCCATTCTCCATACAATGTCGCGACTACATGTTAATTTGAAGGGCTTCAGGTCAGGTTTTGCCCTTAACAATTTACCAATACGCAACAGTTTGTAATCTTTATCCTCGGACACTCGACCAAACATTACCACTACTCACCTTGTTTTGGACTGAGCTAGGGGTGGATATGGTGGCGGTCTGTACGGGAACACCGCCTGCACACGCCGCCAGAACGAGAAGAAAACGTCCCAAGCGGGAGGCCATGTTTTGGCAGGTTAAAAAGGCGTCGCGAGTTGTGTAATTCTACACCGTATTCATCTCGAAACACCTGGGCTACCTCGTCTATCAACTTACGTTGCCTCGGGTGTCGGGCGCGACTAGATCATTGAGCAGATGCACGTCATGTTTCATCCTTTGTACGTGCAATCAGCACAATACGCAATTCTTATGTATATGACAGTCTGACCTACTAGTATGTTACGTAAATGTAAAGCAGTGAAGTTTTCTAGACATCACTAAGAAGAATTTAGACGAACGTGTAAGTCCCCGGAATATCTGTTTTATTTCTCCTTCCCATGCCCACCCCCTTTCAAAATCATTTACTTATACTTAATATACATCTCTTTGCGATCAGTTGCCAAGTTTGGAATCATCTATTACTGACGTGTATGATGAAGTACAAACGCCTATACAAGAATATAACACTGCGTCACTGGGCAGTTTTAACATCTGTGGATTCCTTACGACCATTTTTTACGGTAAATGACAATACGATAAATGGGCAACAGCACAAAAACATTTGGGTATCAGTGAAGGATGGCAACATTGCCTTTTCGCGCGCCCACATTTTCCGGGCCAGTACACCTGAATCGTGTGACGTCAGATGTGACATTGTTAAGCCTCTTATTTGCATAGTGGGAACTCCCCACCGTCTACCTGCAGCAGTTAGCCGCTGTATGTGTCACAGTGACTCATATCTTTCATGATCTGTCATTCAAACGCCAGGGGCAACACTAGTAGTACTAAGCATCATTAAGACCAAGAAAAAACTATTCTTCTTTTAACTTCCCAAAACCCACAAATTTTGGAAAAGGTGGGACATTACGTCTTCCATGGTTTACAGAAGAGAAGTCAAACCCTTCAGACATAGTTTTAGACATAGTTATAGTTCTAGACTGTCAACGTTATCATGTAGACTTCAGTTATTTTATACCCTATTCCATTGTTCTTTTATGTTTTGTAATTTGCAATTAGCCCCCGGGCAAGAATATTTTAATTTGCAATAAACTTTTCAATTAAAGGCACCGAGTCTTTATTTTATATTATTATACAAGCATACCCCTTTCTCACCAGAACCAGGGAGTTTTAAAGCTCCTTGCTAGAACGTGTATGAAGTGTGTGAAGTGTAACACGCATGAGACTGTCAGTGAGTAATAATACAGTTCACATCGATCCTTACTTGTTTCTAATACAAATCGATATTGGTGAAATCATCAACCTGTTTATCCACATGCTTATAGTGCTCAGGGTCATGCAGACCACCCTTTCTCCTAGCTGGGGCACAGCCTTCAACATTTTCACTGCGCTGTGAACAAACCAAGACAGAACTGTCTCAGGTTACACCTTCAGGAAGTATCGTTAAGGAAGGTTGCTAAGGATAGACGTCAATGGCCTGTTAATGGCCTAGAGACACAAGGAAGTCGCGAGCTGTTTTTGTGTAATTTGATGACTCTCTACCCGCAGGCTAGAAATATCCTTAGCCTAACATAAAGGAAACTTACTGCCTGTGTGATTACCCAACACTGCACTGGAGCCTGGTAGTAAACACACTCAGCTAAATTTGTTGCAAGTCCTACATGCAATTTATTTCTTCTTAAGATACCAAAATATCTCTACCGGTAGTCGCTTTAGAGAACTGCTCAAAAGAGCAGAAAACTGAAACTTATAAATCCCTAAGAAAAGATTAAAAAAATCTTTTGATACACAATCTCATTTCTTTATCATTATGACTACAGTATATTGCTGCATGATATCTGTGTTGTTCAGCTATTATCACAGAGCTGAAATAAAATAGACGTACCTATATTTCTATTTTGAGTTGATAGAGCCCTGCCCTTGGCCCATCTCAAAGGCCTGTGAGGTAAACTCAGTCCATGCCAGTCTGGAGATGGTGAAGGTTGCATTTGCAGCCTCCATGCTCTCTGTCCCATCCATGGACACAACAGGGAGGTGTAGCTGTGGTAGTGGCGGGGGCATAACAAGGCTAGTCTTGGGCTGTGACTGGCCCGTGCACTTGTGTTCTTTCATATACTTCTCCCTGGTGAAACCTTTACCACAGCTAGGGCAGTGGAACTTGAAATCTCCCGTGTGAAGCTTGACATGGTCATTCAGGTGGTCCTTCCTGTTGAACCCCAGTGAGCAGTATGAGCATTTGTATGGCCTCTCGTTGGTGTGGGTCATCAGGTGGTCTCTGAGTTTGTCTCTGCGCGTGTACGCCCTGTCGCACATGTGACACTTGTGGGGCTTGTCGGTGGCGTGTACTGTCCTGATGTGCCTGCCTAACTTGTTACTGAGCTTGAATCTCAGTCCGCAGTGGGGACAGATGTGGTTCCGCTGCTCCGAGTGCCTCTGCAAGCGGTGACGCCTCATGGCATCGCTGGACTTGAAACCCCTCCCGCACTCCTCACACAGGAAAGAATTCTGGTCGTTGTGGCTGACCATGTGACTTTTGAGAAGCTCCCTGCTGGTACAGATCCTCCCGCACACCTTACACATGTGGCTGTGACTTTCCTCAGCCATGTGTCTCTGTAGAGCTTTGTATCCCCTGCTGCGAAACACACAGTTGGGACAGGAATACTTTGCATAGTCTCTCCAGGTGAGCTTCACCCCTTTCTCAATCTTGTGTTCACTTTCTTGGTGCTTCTGTAACTCCATCTTGCTCACAAAACAACTTTCACATGTCCTACATTTGTAAGGCTTGTGACTGTGGACAGCCGTGTGCTCCTTAAAACTTTCTATGGTTTCGAACACTTTCCTGCAGGAGGTATCCTCACACTGGAACGTCCTCCTAAGCCCATGAGAGCTGGATAGATGCTGACTGAGCTGGCAGGATGTTGTGAACCTGGCTTGACAATGGGTACAAGTCAGCTTAGTTTTAGTACTTTCCTTAAGGTTTGAGACTTCTGCTTTCTCAGGTGAATCTTCAGGATATGTTACGTCCGACCAGCTCTGTGCTTGACTCATAGTTTCCCATCTCATGTTGCCTACCAATCCAGGCCCTGATCCTAACCCGTCATCCTGGTTTGCTGTATCGCCACCCAGGATTGCTCCAGTTGACAGAAGTTGAGAGAAGACCTCTGCAGGATCTCGTCCCAAGTCCGTCTCAACCCTGCCTGGCCTTAGATTTTCTTCACTGCTCATACTTTCAATGACTCCCTGTATAGATGCTATTGTGAGTCCACTGTTACCTATTGTGTGGCCTTCATTACTACATGCTGACTCTCCAATCTCATAACTTGAGGAACTAACCGGAAAACTATTGGAGTTGGCCTCTTCGATTGGTATAGTCTGGCCTGAAGGCTCTGTTGAGGGCACCCAGGCCATGTGGAGGTTCTCTATGTGGGTTTTCAGTACAGTGTTGTCCTGGAACTTACTGTGGCACAACAGGCACTCAGCACTCTTGTTGTGGCTGTGGAGATGCCTGTTCAGAGACATACTGTGAGAGACGAGTTTGTGGCACACGGGACACTCCACGTCTTTGGTTCGCTTGTGGTTCTTAGGTCTGCGAACGACCTTTTCTTCTTGCTCCACAGAAGGCTCCGATTTCTGTGAAAGTTTCAATCTCCCTTCTGACTCTACCTTCGTCTCCAGCTGCTGTTCTGTTCTGTTTGGCTGTTTGTTTGCAGGCTTCCCACCATGTGAGTCCTTCCTGTGCTGCCGTAGAGCGGCGAGGCTTGGGAACGTGACATCAGACCTGCAGAGGGAACATCTGAACCCTTTTGTACGAGTCTTCTTCTCTCTTACGCGCTCTCCTCCAGTGTCATCGCAAGTCACTGTAGCAACACCTTCACCCTCTACTTCCTTAGGACATTGCTGAAACACAAAACCATTGCTACTTTCACCTTCTGTTGGAGACTCAGGAATTTCTGTGCTGCAAACTTCCACACAAACAAAGGAGCAATGTTCACACTTGTAGTACATTTTGCGATCAGATGAGCTACGAAGTGGCACAACCACATGTTTTCCAGTACAATGTCTCTTCCCAGAGCACTCTGTACCCCCATGTAGAGCCTCTCCTGGTGTAAGTGTAACATCTCCAGGTGAAGAAGTGCCACATGTGGGTCTATCTGTAAGGCTTCCACCTTCTGCAGGCCTCAAAATGTCAGGCTGGTTCCCTGACAGCCACTGAAAAGGAACACATCAAACAAAGAATGAAGATTCATTAGATTTTACACTACAGTAGTGTCATTATTACAGGAAATATTGTGCAAAGTTGACTGCTTGGAGCACCTTTAAATTTGCTGTAACTACATGTAATTATCTTCATGTATTGCCTTTCCATCTAACAATAACAGTTACGTTTTAAATTTCCACCCTTCATCTGCTTCAATGCTGGTAGAATGACACGTACACATTCTTTTTTATTAATGTTCGTTTTTTCAAGATATATACAAGATACAAGATCTCTTTATTGGAAATAGCAGTGTTGCCACTGAATTAAAACCAATTTACAATTCAAAATAAGGAATTCATTAAAAGCTGGAATTCATTAAAAGCTGGAATTCATTAAAGTTCACAAATATGGACAAATTATACACACACATTACAAAAAGAGGCAATTGCAAGTTACTGTCCGTGCTGGTTTACAAGTCTTGTCATGTACATGTACGGCACACAAGAGTTCAAGTACCGCTTTGCTTTTTTTATTAACGTTCGTTTTTTATTAACACGTTCACTGCAGTTGAACCATTCCTAACTTTTAAACTAAAATTCACCAATTTGCCGACGAGTGTGAAGTTTTCTGACAAATGGCGCGGTCTCTATTGGTAATCATATGAGCGTGTGAGGTACGCAGAGACGCCGTCGGACAAAAGGGTGTGGTCCCTTTTGACTTGAAATCTGATTGTTAATGTACTCCGAGAGACACGATCACAACTTAGTATTTCATATAAAACTGAGGTGAGTTTTATTGCAGTATGTTCGAGAAGAGTATGAAACGTATCACAAAAAGGGGAGGTTCAACACACTTTATTATTCCACAGATTTTCCGAATAATCGGTATGTGTTCAAACATCATATCATATAGTACACCGTACATTCATTTGATAACTTTTTTTCAATTGTATTGTCAATAAATAACAAGGCCGAAGTGTCCCTGGCATGTGGCCAAAACGTCCACCGCATGTGGCCGAAGTGTCCTAAAATGTCCATGGACGAAATGTCCTGCTTCTGTACAAACTATGTAAACAAAGCTGCTTACGTACCTCTGACATCATGTCCATGGTGGCTCTCACATACACGTCTTCACTGTTGTGTTTTGTCCGGTGAGTTACAGATCTGTTGAGACTGCAAAAAAGGCAATAAAATCAAGCTGATTCAACATATGTTTTAATAGTTCCTCGTCTATATACAAAAATTTTGTACATTATGTAGGTTTCTCTTGGATGGGGAGGGGGGCAGCCGTGGTATAACGTTCCCCTACATGGATTATGTCAGTAAACAATTCAACGTACCCACATTTTCTAGTATCTGTCTTGGGTCACCACAGAGGGTCGTTGTCCCAGCCATTCATCCATAATTTCACCCAGAACCAGTCATACTGGATTTGAAACTTGCATAGCCGTCGGCGCCCCCCTCCCCTCCCCCAGTACTCATGGCCTAAATCCTACAACTTACAGGCTTAGTGTGCTTCCCTGGGTCTTCCCTCTAGATTCATACGTTGTAATTCAATATCGTAAGAACGTATGGTGTTTGGGCGAAAGCTTAAAGCTACATAAGCTGGTGTGTTACGCCGAAAGGCGGTTATACCGGCTATACAGATACAGATACAGAATCTATCCTCACCTTTACAAGAGGCTGCCAACGGTAAACATGCAACTGCCTCTGGTGGAGGTTAGAGGTCACAGGTCAAAGTTGATTTATGCAATAGCACAGGTAAACATTGACACCGGTACATTGACATCGATGAACCCAACTAGTCTCCACCAAACTTTTTTTGCGGGGTGAATAAATCGTAGAAATCGGCCTAAAAAGGGAATTAAGTGGCCAGAAAAAGGTAGCCGGCCAGAGAAGCTCCATTGCCGCGCCAAGAAGCAATGGAGCTTCTCTGGCCGATCTTCTCTGGCCAATTAATACCCTTTTTAGGCCGATTTCTACGATTTATTCACCCCGCAAAAGAAGTCTGGTGGAGACTACCTCCTTGATGAACCAGAGAATCAAAACTCGCGCAAATAATAAATTGAAACAAGACAGGAAATCACCAAACTGAATTTTCCATCATAATTGTTTAATTGTACATTCTTGATGAAATTAGTTATCTATGATCATTCAATTGAGTCATTCTATAAAAGTTGCCATTAAATATTTAAACAGGTAAAGAAATAGTATCAATGTTGATAGTGGGTAACTATAACATGGTGTCCATATGACATGAAATCTACAACCAATTCTAATTTCAATAGGAATCTTTAAACAATATATATATATATATATATATATATATATATATATATTTGATGACTGATTCTTTATGTACAAATATAATGTATGATATAACAGCTTATTGAACATTGCCACACAATTAGTAATACAATATTATAGTAATACAATATCATAACACTCGTTATCACTCGTTATGTATACATTATAATACACAAAATGCTTTACTAATACTAGTGTCACAGAATGATACATCCGACACGGCGACAGGACATTGTGATTCCCGTGCCATATTTGCATGCACAGTATATATATCTATATATCTGTATATCTATGTATCTATATATCTATCTATCTATATATCTATCTATATATCTATATATATCTATCTATATATATCTATATATCTATATCTATCTCTCTCTCTCTCTCTCTCTCTCTCTCTCTCTCTCTATATATATATATATATATATATATATATATATATATATATATATAGATAGATAGATAGATAGATAGATAGATAGATAGATAGATAGATAGATAGATAGATAGATATAGATATATAGATGGATAGATAGATATATAGATAGATAGATAGATAGATAGATATAGATATAGATATAAAGATAGATAGATATATAGATAGATAGATAGATATATAGATAGATAGATAGATAGATATAGATATAGATATATAGATGGATAGATAGATATATAGATAGATAGATAGATAGATAGATAGATAGATAGATAGATAGATAGATAGATAGATAGATAGATATATTGCGAGCTTTGATAGTTTGTCCCTGTCATTTGTAGATCCAAAGTGTCTCCTATGCATGGCTGACAATAAATGAATACTAGTATATGCTGATCCATATACAATAAGCACAACACTACACAATGATGTCGTCGAGTGTTCATGAGTTGTTCACTTCACATGTTCTCCCCACGGCGTCAGAAGTACGTGGTGATTTGTGACGGCATGGTCCTCAGGTACACCGATGAGTCAGGGGGGCTGTGGCAGCTCTCGGTGAAGAAGTAGGTCTGGCGATGAAATTTCATAATCAATCATTCAATCTGCCTTTAGTATCAGGTCTAAAGAAACAGGTGTGCTGATTGCAATCTCCATGTTTCAAAAAAATAAAACATTAGAGCAAGAAGTTCAATGATTTATTTATTTATTTATGACGATTTACCACATTTGTGGAAGGATTGACATAACAGGTGACTATCACCTTTTCAAAGATGTCAAACCTGAGACCAGACTGTAATGTTTGAACCACTCACACCGGGAAGGTCCCCTACTCTTTTCGATAAGTGTGGTGGGTTCTTTAACGTGCGTGGGGTGTGGCTCTCCCAAACACGGGAATGATCACCAGTTTTTACAGTTATCACGGGATTCGAATGGCATGAATGACTGGTTCTTTATGTACAAATGCAATGTATGATATAACAGCTTATTGAACATTGCCACACAATTTATGTGCTTTATGTGCTTTATTAAACTCCATTAGCGACACACAAGACATTGGTACAAAATCAAGTATGTAGCTAATCTTCCTGGAGTTAAAGTAATACCAATACACAACAATAGTACAAATACACTACAATAGTACAAATACACTACATCGAAATTACATTTCCAATCTCAACTAAATAAGTGTGATGAATAATCAAGTCTAAGAACATGAATATAAAACGCCCAGAATAGACAAAATAAGATGCCACTCACCGTTTCCTCGCCAGAGGCCATCTTGTCCATGACCTGGATGAGGTCCGTGGGGTCTGGTCGGGCTGCCGGGTCCTTCAGCCAACACTTCTGCATGATCTTATACCTGCACAGAGGAGGGGATTCTTAATGTAGTTTTGATTGTCACCACAATATCGAGACAAATAAGATACTTAGAAGTTGAAGCAATTTGAGGTTGGCGGACACATCCCATACTAGTATTATGAATGAGATATATTTCAAAAGCGTTTTAGTCTACCGGCAATAATAAGAGACAGAGAGTTTCCATACCCATTGTATGGTTTGCTTAATTTGTTTAAGTATGCCTGTGTTTTGATGCTGATGTATTTCTGGAATATTGTCAACACATGCCTACTCATATCGTCAGTCTATTCACGTCATATCTCATTAACCTCACCAATTCATAATCTTCATAGAGCCGCAGTATCAAAGCTTCATTCAAATTTACATGCTAAATCCGATAAAGTTAAAACAATAAGAAGAAACGTACATGTGGTCAGGGCAGCTGTCCAGTCGGTCCATCCTCTTCCCGGTGGATAGCCAGTCTATCAACTGTTTGTCAGCGGACAGGTCTGGATAAGGTCGCCCGCCTGGAATTTAAGAAACCGAACGGCAGAGTATGACTTTCCGGAATCACAAAAAAGTGAGTTTTGAAGTGATGGTTTAAGATTGATGACTTCAAATTGTTTCACAAGTTAAAGCAATTCTACACACAGTGAAATTTGGAAAACCGTTAACTTACCCAGAGAGGCGATTTCCCACAAGAAGACCCCATACGACCAACTGAAAACAGATAAAGCATTAATTTACATTGTAGTTGACATTTCTCATTGACTAGAAGACAATGAAAGTACAGATCAACATAATTCGCATGCATGTAAGCTATGGACACTGATCATGACTAATGTATTGCTTGTCGATGATCAGACATTTGTTTCGTATGCATCAAAGAAGCACACTACATTTTGCTTTGTACATCAACAAAATTAATTTTCCTCACATGTCGGTCTTGTGGGTGAAGGCTCCGTCCTGGAGAGACTCAAGCGCCATCCAGCGGATTGGCAGGGGTCCGTCATCTCCTTGTTGCTATGGATACCGGATAAAAGAAAATGATTCATTGGTCAATATGTATCACTACGTAATCTTGCGAATTTAGGTAGGTTTTAGACACAATATTGGTTATCACATCATCGTCTCAACTCCATTCCTTCAAGACGTCCATGGTTTGCACCGAAGACTCTTTGAGACAAATGAATCATTGCTTGGTTTATGCTTTGTACACCTTCATATCTATAAGAAAGATTGTTAATTTTGAATTTATCATGCACTTACGTTGGACAGCTTGACGTACTCAGACTCGGTGTAGATGTCCCGGGCCAGCCCGAAGTCACAGATCTTGGCCTCCCTGTCCGCAGAGATCAGCACGTTCCTGGCAGCCACGTCCCTGTGGATCACCTGCAATGTTTAAAGGTGAATCTTGACTTTGTGTATCGAACGATCCCTGAAATATATTGTAAAGATGTGCATGTGGTATACATTAAACTATAAGCATAACAACGGAGGACCAGTGCAATGCGAGTTGAAAATGATCCGAAACCAACCACAAGGCAGGCAAAGGCTTGCAGCGAGTACTAGTACTAGTATGTCAAATTTTGTACATCTTAGATGATGCAAACTGCAACAAAAGTTTGTTTCTGTCAGCGCCGGTTTTGCGTTTATTCTATTTTTTTTTACGTTTACGTACCTTCTTCCTCTTCAGCTCTGCCAGCGCGTTGGCCACTCCCCGTGCAAACTTCAGGAACTCCCCGTCCTGCTCGGCCGTCACTCCCAGCTGCCCCGGGGACTGGCAGCGGTGGCGGCAGGAGCTCAGGTAGTTACGGAGATCCCCGTAAGGGGCGTACTCAACCAACAGGTACACACGTGCTGTACGGAGCAAATGAAAGAAAGCTAAAGATACAGTAGATGGACATACATCATTTTGATTAAGTTAAAATCAAAATGTATCTATGTTGTTGAAATAATTTACAAGTGGGGTCGTAAGTGCGCGACTCGGAACTAAGAGTCCTGGGTTCGAGTCCTGACATGCCACCGATCTTGTGCCTTTGGGAAATGCACTTTACACGACTTTTCTCACTTCACTCAGGTAAAAATGACTAGTATTGTCCTGTAATGTATTTGTCCCCCGTGTTGGTGGCGGCATTAATATAAGTTGAAGAAACTTGAGTGTGTCGTCACCACGTCTGGTAATTACATGTTGGAATAAAAAATTAAAAAAAAAATTTACACGTCCATTTACACGCTAAAGCTAATATTTCCATGATTGATAATGACAATGAGCGTTGATCAAGGCACACCTGGCTGCATGCTGGAAATGTACAATTCCACACATACTTTAAAGTCTTACATTTGTCCAAGACGTATCCGTAGAACTGAACGATGTTCCGGTTGATTTGCGAGGGAGAGGAAGTGTCTTGAGGAATATAGAGTTCGGACAGCAGCCTGGTTTCCCTCAGGAAGTCCCGTTGTACGACCGGTCCTGCTTGGTCTGAGATGGAGACAAACAATATTTAACTATTTCAAAATTTAACAGCGCCGTCAGTCTAATTCCCCATCAAAAGATTTTCTACAAACGATTGTTGAATATCATTTGTCATAGTTTGTTGCTTCGTTATTTGCCTTTATGGTACGTATTCTATGTTCTCAGGGTCTCCCTCAAAATCGGCACACCGAAGATGCTAAAGAAGATCCCATTACAAGGAAATGGTACTATACTGCCTGCTTACCAGCTCTAATTGTTTTGGCAGCCACGGTGAGTTGCGTTGTCTTTTGCCGCAGCTTCGCCTTCACAACGTAACAAAACTGGCCCTGTCCGATCTGCTCTACGATAGTCAGCTGTTCGCGCTTCATCTGCCATTTCCGAACAACGTCTTTGTTCTCCTAAAAACGTGTTGCAAAAGTAAGATTGATGACCGGGGGCAAGGCATTTGTTGGTAATGTAGTTTTGAACTAGAAAGGTAACATTTGCAAAGCAAATACATAATGTTTACCTTCGCATACGGTCTGCTCTGAGCCAATTCCTACTCAAATGCATTCATATATATGGTCAGACAGGAGTCTAAATCCCTCCTGCTATAAAATTGCAACATGATGTAACCCAACACCAGTTACCAGGGTGACAGACGTCTGGTTCAGGGCATTGGCCTTGTTGGTTTGGAGAAGAATAAGAAGAAGAGGAAACAGAGCAAAAACAATATGTTTTCCTTCATGGAAAATCTTGCGGGACATACCGGGTCATGTAACCAGGAGATAAGCTCGCTGTCCATCTTGTACTTGTGTCCTTTGTTCTTCTTTATCAAGGAGAAGATGACTATAACTGCCGCGCAGAGCACAGCGGCGGGGATCAGCACGGCAGTGGCAATTAGACCGGCACTCAGACCGGGCTTCCCTGCAACGACAGTCCATTGAGATCATTGGCGGAGACGCGAGAATCAACAACAAAGTGAAGACCAATCTGCTCACAAATTGACTCCAATATTCAAATGTCTTTTGAGCAATGTTAAAACCCACAAGATCACATGTGCAGTGCATCTTGAATCAAAGGGTAATGGTAAAAGCGCGATGAAAGTTTGATGATAGTGAGATGAAATAGGTGGTGGAAGTGATGTTGCCATTAACTTTTGACATGATTGAATATATACAAAGACGAGACCATCCAGAAAGGTTCTTTTATGTTTGAAATAGCTCCATGAGCTCCATTGCAATTGCATTGTGTTAACAACATGAGTTCTAAAGAATAATTGGGACGTACTTGGTGGCTCTGGCCTAGGTCTCACGTCAAGACGGTGGGACACCCTCATTTCCACACCGTTCACATCGCGGACGACACATTCGTAGTCTCCTTCATGCTCCTTCGACAGCCGTGGTATCGCCAGGACGTGGCTGGGAAATACAATCAAATAACATAGACGTGAATTCTCATTGAAATACAATGTAGTTGAAATAATCACATTCCATAAAACATACATTTTATAAGCCACAGGAGAACCGTGTTAACTCTACCCATGAGACATCGCAGAGAGAGAAGTAGGTGATAAGTGAAGAAAAATATGAAGACCACTCGATAGCAATATCATAATACTGGTTTATTTGTTTCATGTAAAACTCCTAACAATGGTTCCCACATGGCACATATTCATACTAAAAACATTAACTATATCAATAGACTAGATGGCGATTTTAAGTCAGTCTCTTCAGACATAAGATCTATACCCCCCCCCCATAATTGCAGTCTTTTGACGCATATTAAAATAAACAACAGTGATACTGACTTGGAGTAAAATGATGACTTCCTGATCACTCCGTCCGGTAGTTCCTTGCCATCTTTTGTCCACGTCAGGCTGGCAGCATCTATGTTGTAAGAGTGGCAGGTGATGTTGAAGTCGTCCCCAGCCTGGGGTGAGGAGTCACTCGCCGTCACGACCACGGTAGGATCCGCTGTAAAATGGACATGCATTTTGATTGTTAACAAATATCAGGTCGTACAGCACAGTGCCCAAGACTGGTCGAAAATCATAAAGAATTTAGAGCATCACTCAAACCAACCTTTTATTTCAACTTATTACTTGCACTGTGACGTGTTACCTGTTCTACCAATGTGAGGTCCATATTCCATGTAGAGCCAAGTGATGTAGAGCAATGTAAAATCAGTTGGATCCCATGCATGTGTCTAAACACATAATGCCATGTACTTACGGATGTCGCAGGCCACCCCCTTCCAGCCCGGAGCACACAGACAGGCGCCGTTGAAGGCGTGACACGTGGCGCCGTTCTGACAGACGCAGGTCTGGTCACACAGTCCGCCGTACTTCCCCTCACTACAGCCTGGAACATGATATCATCTGATAAAACCACCTGATAGGTGTACCTCCGCTCGGTTACACGTGTTCTGCTAAGCTCAGGATACAAATACAAGAGACACTGATATTCTTCCATATCTACTCTTTACATCTGGTAGACGGTTCCTACTGATGAGTGTCAGAACAGTTGTACTGACACTCATCGGTAGGAACCGTCTACCAGATGTTAAGAGTAGATATGGAAGAATATCAGTGTCTCTTGTACTTGTATCCTGAGCTTAGCATTACGTGGTATGCATGATTGGTATCATGCCCATTTTCTATCCGTCCAAGTACTTATCATCCACATTTAGCAGTTTAGTAGTCTTTCGCAATCGAGATAGTAATAGCCTAGGGGTAGGGAGGGTGGAAAGCGCTGGGAGAGTGGATGGAGCTTTTTCGACAGCCGTCATTCTGTTGGAGGAAGTTACTTAATTTTAATTAAAATGTTTATGCTGATTGGACAAGAGTACCAACTGTATTCCCTTGGCCTGTATGTACCCAAAACGTACCTCTTGCAGAAATGTCCAGTTTGACCTCAAATCTCACTGTGTCATTAGTTCCAAAACAGATCCAACTTGACTTCTGTCTGGAGGACACGTGGTCGATCGTCATGTCCAGCACGACGAAGGGACTGTTGGCCTGGACCCAGCTGTCCTGGAACATCAGGCTCCAGGTGGCGGGGTGGATCTTGTGTTGGAGGGGGTCGTCAGGGCTGAAGGGGGGCTGCAGGAAGAAAACAGACCCCTTGCTCAATTTACAATGTAGATTTGTACCACCAACTTAGTCCTCTTGCTCATGTTCTATGTCCTTAACCAGTCATAGTGTGTTAAAAAAGTTCAAACACAAACATGTTACATACAATATTGGAAGCGAAAGGTTACAATTATGAAAAAGGAGTGTATCAATAATCACATTGTACAAAAATGACCAACCCTGATAACACCGATGGTCATTTGGGACCCGGTTTCCTGGTTTCCCTCAGTGGCATCAGTACAGACGATTTGGGAGTCGTTGACCAGGTGGGCGAAGAAGGCATCGTTTGCTATAAAGGCGTCCACGTACTCCAGTCCACCTGCATGTCAATGACAACACTTTACTATATCGGTGGATAGAATTAAATCCTGTGCCAATACATTAATATCTAGTCCATCTAGTATCTAGTATATCTAGTACTATTACTGACATGCACTATCTAGTCCAATTGTTGACGTCTTCATTCCACGTCCTGCATTACATATATAAAATGGTAGATTCTTTATAACGTGTTTAATTGACTTACATTGGTCGTTGTCAGTCAAGAGTTTCACTACGGCATTCGGGTCGAAGAAAAAGTCGGCATTGCTGAAGTTGGCACCCGGGTCAAAGGCTGCTACGCGAAATCCAAGCTTGGTGTCAAACATAACGCCCTGAATAAGGCACAACCGAAAACAGTCAAAAAATGGTGGAAATGCATACCCATGCAATGAGGAGTTTATCACACCGTTTACGAGTTTGCAATTCGGTCACCATATAGCCTTTTTTAATTGAAAACAACCATACACACACACTACACACACACACACACACACACACACACAGAGACACACACAGACACACGAACGCCCCTAAAACTATAACCTTCTTGACGAAGGTAAAAACAGTCCTTACCTAACATTAAGTAAAATAAAGTGTACCTTGTCGTCGTCAACCACCGGCGTTTTGCAGTTGTCGTTAAAGACAGGCGGGTAACCCTCCACGTCCTCCACATCAATGGTCACCGAAATGAACGAAGTGGCGTTGTTCTGTTCGACATTTTACAAGTTCAAGAAGTTACCTTATTGCAGATACTGACAATACTGCCAAATAACACTTGATGAACATTGCTCTCTCTGTAGGCGTAGCTGCAATGTATGACTTTATCACATACATGCATCAATGTACAATGTAATCATAATCGATACAGCACATATTGTTCCGTATACTGTTGTCTAAGTGTCTAAGTTACACTATGATATGCTAATCGAACTTCATTGGTAAAAAAAAAATGAGTGTTCTCATATCAACTTAATAATATGTCGAATTAGCATGAAATATCATCTGCGATGGTTTGTAAAATTACTCGCTGAATTATATGTATTGCATGCATGTAACATATATTTCAGCGAGCAATGTATAATTCAGCGAGATATAGTTTACTAGTACCTTTTCCTGTTGTAGACTGACGTTGAGGATGTACTGTCTGTCCACGGTCACGTCAAGATGCCGACTCAAGTTCAGGAGTCCAGTCTCCTCATGAAGGGTGAATCTCTCGAACTAAGAATGAATCATTGAGAAACAAAATCAAGCTTCTTTGTTAATATATAGTAGTAGTCTGGTAAAAACTGTAACACAACGAACAGACGGAACGAGCAGCCCCGTCTGTCCTTATTCGACAAATCCCCATACAAATGACTTATTCATCTGCAAACCAAACAAGTCATTCTCATGGCAACAAACGAAAGAACAATCAATTCTGACCAAGAAAGTCGACACGACTGTTTCGGGACGACTATATTCTACGGACAAAGTACATGTAAGTATTGCCAATTAACTCCTGCAATTGCAACGATGCACAAAGCACCTCAAGAAGCTACCACGATGAACCACAGGCAATGGACATTACCTTATTGCCCGACAACAGTGTGAAGCGGGCGCCAGTCTGGTTTGTCAGGAACCCGTTTGACTCAAGTACCCCAGGCATGTCAAGTACGGTGGAGCCGACCATCTCGTCCTGTAGGTGGAAGCAAATGAAGTTGAAAATCATCCTTCGTTTTTTTTTAATTTCAAGTTTGATCCACGGTTGTTATAATTGTTCCTCGTACCAAGCCGTCGATCGAAATTGTTGAAAGCAACCGCCTTACCTCTCTTATAGTCAATATCAGGTTTTCGTGGTTTGCTGTGGGAAAAGAAATAGAATAATGAATTATTTTCAGGACAAACGAAGTATATAAATGCCATGTTCTTAGCTTGCAATTGGACTTTTCAGAAAATGATGCCGCGCAGTTGCATTAAGCTGCATTTCTTTTCATAATTTCTTTTCTGACGAGATTCAACTCTGCATGGCAAACAATGCCCTGACAGTAGTGCATGGTGCAGGTACCACCATATTTTCTGCCAGGGCAACCTGAATGACCACATTAACACATAAATTCAGTAAGTTTAAGGTCTCGTACAAGTTAGGTCCCAAACAATGCCATGTACTTACGGATGTCGCAGGCCACCCCCTTCCAGCCCGGAGCACACAGACAGGCGCCGTTGAAGGCGTGACACGTGGCGCCGTTCTGACAGACGCAGGTCTGGTCACACAGTCCGCCGTACTTCCCCTCACTACAGCCTGGAACATGATATCATCTGGTAAAACCTTATAAATATACCTCCGTTACACCTAGCAGAATATGTAGCAGGTGAAAAGAGTAGATATGGAAGAACTTCAACGTGGTATGAACGATTGGTATCGTGCCCATTTTCAGACAAAGTACCTATTATCCACATTTAACCTAGCAGTCTGATAGTAATTAGCAATCGAAGTAGTACTAGCCTACGAGTAGCAGTGGGTAGAGTGGACAACGCAGGGAGAGTGGGGAAGTTATTCTGTTGAAGAATGAATCTGGTAACCAGTCTTCTATACATTGTGGGATACATATAGCCATGGCAACAACGAATGCACAAGGTTTACTTAGTAATACGTTTAATGTGCTGATTGGACAAGAGTGTCAACTGTATTCCCTCGGCCTGTATGTACCCAAAACGTACCTCTTGCAGAAATGTCCAGTTTGACCTCAAATCTCACTGCGTCGTGAGTTCCAAAACAGATCCAACTTGACTTCTGTCTGGAGGACACGTGGTCGATCGTCATGTCCAGCACGACGAAGGGACTGTTGGCCTGGACCCAGCTGTCCTGGAACATCAGGCTCCAGGTGGCGGGGTGGATCTTGTGTTGGAGGGGGTCGTCAGGGCTGAAGGGGGGCTGCAGGAAGGAAACAGTTTACAATGTAACAACAGTTTAGAGTTTAGTCTTTATTTCATAGTTTACAATGTAGATTGGTCCCACCAACTTAGTCCTCTTGCTCATGTTCTATGTACTCTCCAAGCAGAGGTTTGGGTTTTGGGTTATTTTTGGCGTGTTTTTAGTCTTTTTTTTTTCAGGGTTTATTTTTTTTTGCACTGGAATTTTTCTTTCAACCCAAAGAAAAATTCCAGAGCAAAAAACAAAGCCCGATAAAAAGTCTGAAAACACGCCAAAAATAACCCAAAACCCAAACCTCTGCCTGGAGAGTAGTTCTATGTCCTGAGGCAGACACCGTGTATTAAAAAAGTTCAAACACAAACATGCTACATACAATATTAGAAGCTAATAGTTGCAATTATGAAAAAAAGGGGTGTATCAATAATCACATTGTACAAAAATGACCAACCCTGATAACATCGATGGTCATTTGGGACCTTTCCTGGTTTCCCTCAGTGGCATCAGTACAGATGATTTGGGAGTCGTTGACCAGGTGGGCGAAGAAGACATCGTTTGCTATAAAGACGTCCGTGTACTCTAGTCCACCTGTATGTATGTCAATATAACAATGGCAACACTTTACCATATCAGTAGATAGATTTAATCATTGTGCAAACTTATATCAATGACAACGTGACTTCCAAGACCTGCAGTAACAAGTGTGGTGATTCGTAAGCCCCCGTCACACATAGTTTAATATGGCCTCCCAAACACTGACACCCCTTCCCCCCCCTAGCCATGGTTAGGAGTAGGCCAATAGGGAGCAAAATCGGCTGCGGTTTGCTGGCAAGGTTAGATACTAGTTCTGGTAACGTTCGGTTGCACTAGCTGAATGTATCAAAATGATTAAGACAATGTTCAGGAGGTTCAGCAATGGTTGACTGATGGTTGGCTTGTGTTCGGGAGTAGGTCGGCAGTGTTCGGGGCGTCTGCAGGGGGGGGGGGGGTCAAATTTGACACAAATTCGATTCGCACAGAAATGTAGCCATCGGCCTACTAAAGCTCCCGAACTTCAGCCAACCTTGGTTTGATGGGGATCGGGGAAGTTTCTGAATGTGTGACAGGGGCTTCAGTGACTTACATTGGTCGTTGTCAGTCAGGAGTTTAACTACAGCATTCGGGTCGAAGAAAAAGTCAGCATTGGTGAAGTCGCCACTTGGGTCGAACGCTGCTATGCGAAATCCCAGGCTCGTTTCAAACACAACACCCTGAATAAAGCACAACCGAAAACATTAAAACAGTGAAAATGGTTTAAATGCATGTGTCATACATATATAATTTGCATGTGTAGAGCCCTACGCACAGAACGTAAAATTCTACTTACGGGCTTGCACCACGGCCACAAAATACCACGTTAAAATCAACTATACATAAATGTATATTTCAACGCTGGTAAGAGCCCACTCATAATCCACGAAACGTCCAGAAAGTATAGTTCGAAGCAAAGATCACTCAACACTAAGTAATATGAAATTTGCATAGAGTGACCCTTCTCAGCAACTTACAGAGCCTAGTAGGCTCTACTTTTGACTTGCGCAACTTGTCTGACCAAGCCAGTATTAATCTTTTACTGAGGAGTTCGCCCCTCTTGCGTCTTGAAGTTAACAAAAAAATTCTGATTCTTACTCAAACCTTTATACTTAATACCCAACGATTTACAGTTGCCTAATGATTTATATTGCCGTTAGTCTTGTATATACGAACGCTCATTTGTTGTTTTGTCATCTTCATACTTGTAACTTGTATTCTACGTCAGGGGTGTGATTAATATTGAAAGTTAGCTTCGGCTAGAGTTTCCACCTCTGTGTCTTGTACCATGTCGTGTACTTTGTTGTTTCAATAAATATAAAAAAATATGAATTTTACCTTGTCGTCATTGACCACCGGCGTTCTGCAGTCGTTATTAAAGACAGGCGGGTAACCTTCCACGTCTTTAATGTCAACTGTCACGGTCATGAACGCCGTTACGTTTTCCTGAAAGGCAGTTTTACAACTGATTACAGATAAAATATTGCTTTCATTGCTTTCCACTAGTCACAAATCATGAACGTGAAGCTTGTGGAAAATTTTACCTCAAACTTTTAAGCTCTGCTGCAGTACGATAGATACCTGCTATCGAACTTACTTAACCTTCGTCTTTGCTGCCCCTACCTATCCACTAAATATCTTGAACAACTATCCACAAATTCTCAAGTTGTGTTCTTAACAAAGAAACAAAAACACAAACATACACAGCCCGCTGTGCCAACACGACAGCTGAACACGACAGCTGAACTATTTTCGAACTTAACCTTTCTTTCCACAACAGCTACTCACATACCAAATTCTGTTCACAGCTTTAGGAGTTATGCCGTACGCATACAAACAACAAATGCATAAAAAGACCACTGAAGTACCGTTGGAAAACGCCAGGTGAATCATTTTTGAACTTGAGCTACCTTTTTACAACCGGTACCCACTACCAAATGCCATGAAGATACATGGATCCGTAGCTTCTCGAGTTATGTTGTTGACATAATATTCTTGTCGAAGGTAATAAAACGGATATTATTAAGGGTTGGTGTTGACAATTGTTGTCACAGCACATGCTTACCTGCTTCAGGTGTACACTGACGTTCAAATCGTACCGTCTGTCGACAGTGACGTCCAGTGGGCGGGCCAGCGTCAACACACCTGTGTCTTCGGCCAGATCAAACCGGTCGCGCTGAACAAGACGTTAGGAGTGACATGAGCGTAAATTTTGTCAGGTGCAATGTATTGTCAGCTTTTCAACCAAGACATTCAATGAAATTGGTTTGCTGCCTACATAAGTTAACAGTAACTAGAAAGGTAACATTTGCAAAGAAAATGCATAATGTTTACTTTCGTCTACGGTCTGCTCTGTTAATTCTAACTCAAACACATTCATATACATGGATGTCAGACAGGAGTCTAAATCCCTCCTGCTGTAAAATTACAACATGGTGTAACCCAACACTAGTTACCATGGTGATAGACGTCTGGTTCAGGTCATTGACCTTATTGGTTTGGAGAAGAAGAAGAAGAAGAATCAGGGCAAAAATAATATTTCATTCGGTAAACATAAAAATTAGAATCTAGGTGAGCCTTATTGATGTAACTGCTCAAGTAGTAAAACCTTTGTAGCTGAACATAAACAACCAATGTTAAAACGTGAAAAAATGACATTATTCTTCACATACCGTGTTTCCAGACAGAAGTAAGAATTTGTAGGTACTGGTGTCCCCATTCGCTGCGCCGTTGGTGGTACCGTTGGTGGTACCATTAGTGGTACCGTTGGTGGTACCGTTGGTGGTACCGTTGGTGGTACCATTAGTGGTACCATTAGTGGTACCATTGACGCTGTCATTTGCGCTTGTCTGTGTAGGGATAGGTGTGGTCACGTCGTTCCCAGGGGACGGAGATGACGTCTCGTTCCCCACCACGAAGGTGGAGAGATCTATCACCGTGGACTGCACGGCCATATTCTATCAAGCACAGGAAAAGGACGGTATTCATCAAACCACAATCTTCTAAACAGATAGACTTCCGAAATTCCGCCATATCCAACAGTTCCTTTTGACGACTAGAAATATGTGAACTTTTTTCAGACAATGTCCAGGTGGCCAATTCCAGAATATTCCACGACTTTCTAACTCCTCTGGCACTAGTATATTCACCCTGTCCAGCCAATGACTGCTACTTCTGGCAGCCGCCGAAGTAATCTGGTGGAATTTGTTATTCAAGCATTGCTTATTATGCTGTTAAGAGAATCTTCCAATGAAGTCAAGTAATTCAGGTCTGTTTTGGCCGTAAATTTTACTCTCCATGGAATGTTAATGCGCCATTAGCTTATGTAAGAGAGATCGAAAGAAAATCGGTTCAAATTCTAGCGTCCATATATAAAAATCCACCGCTCCCTGTACAGACATTCTGTAGACTGTTCTGAGAAAAGGATTATAGAAAAGCAACAAACGTTGTACGTGACAATTTACTGTAACACATTTAAGACACTTAAAACACAGAGTAACACAGAGACACTGAATGATGCAATATGTTTTACCTCTGGTAGCGATACCGATACCGTGTCGTTGGTGACATAGCCACCTTGGCTGTTGACAACTTCTGCCATAATTGCAACACAGCAAACTATGATTAATGCGACGCCCAGACGCCACGATGCCGCCATTTTAACCTATAGCAACAAAGAGTAGTGTACAGTTAGCACAAAAGAACCACGAACGACGGAGTGTCTTGACTAATGATAATATTGATTAGAATAGGAAAGTCACTGCCAAACTGCTACCCTAAAAATAGTCCTAATCTAGGCCGTCTACCAATTTCTCAGTGCATTGTTATTAGATTAGTTCAAGACGGCTTGCTCTTAACCCTTGGGGTTAAAATTAAAACTCTTCACTCAATCATCAATCTATTCATTCATTCATCCATCCATCCATCCATTCATTCATTCATACAAGCATTCAGTGTTATCAGGTCAAACAATATAATATAGTGTTTGCAGGTATGTCGGTAAAGTTTGTGCATTTGTTTACATATTTATCTGATTCGAACGAAACGGGTGGGGCTATGATATCTGTCTGAACTGTTCTTCTTCTTCTATCCCAGTTCGTGCAAACCTCAGTTAGTTGAGGGCTCCAGCACGGTGGGGGTAGGGGTATTGGATGGGGTGGTCGCTCGCACAAATTTTTGTGTGTGTATGTTGTGGTCTGCAGCTCCTCAGTGGGCAGGGGCGCCAACCCTGTCCGCCACCGATCGAGAGCAGGGTGGCGGTGAGTGAACTGTACCTGTCCAGCGCCTGGGGCCGTCACGACCGCCACGCACTCCACCAACAACCGGCAAGTGCTCATGCACTGACACATGCACAGGATAGGTACTAGGGGGTTCGTAGCGTAGTAAACTCTTGCATATTGGCCCTAACGTTAGGAATAATTACGAAGTAGCTAACACTCAGTCCGAAAGTTTGGAAAACACACGCATTGACGAGGTAAAACTTGGATTATCTGTCCAAATCTACGAGCAGCGCCATGTAGCTTGTGTTATCATGACCCCTTTGGTCCGAAAATGGAACTAGAAAAACAGGACGACAACGAGACTCAGAACGCCCTCCGGCGAGCATTATTGCACAGAACTCAAATAGAGAAATAGATTAAGGTGGTATTAGGCGATGCTTACCTGGTTTTCTCTTGCTGTGTGGCGGTACAGCTAGTAGTACAGTCAATCACACGTTCACAGCCGTCGTCTCTCGGGTAGTACAGCACGACAGCCGTACAGCACGACCAGCACGAGAGTTTGACAGCTCGCTTGTGTCTGGCGCAGCGACACACCTCTACTGATTAGTAAGGCCAGATCTGACACGCATGGCTACATTTGAATAGAGAAGTCCTCTCACGCGATTGGTCACCACACTTAACGCTATTGTGACGTACAAGGAAACAAGTGAGAGTCGGTGGTGGCACGGGGATTCCCCGTGACGTCAGAAGACGCGTCTTAAGACAAAACAGACAACAGGTGCAACCACTTGTCCCTAAGATAGGACGTTAAATGGAGGTCCCGTGTTTGGGGAGAGCCACACCACACGCACGTTAAAGAACCAACCGCACTTGTCGAAAAGAGCAGGGGACCTTCCCGGTGTGAGTGGTTCAAACCTTACAGTCCGGTACCGATCTTACGCAGCTTGTACATGTACGTACATGTACAAAACTGGTGTGTTACGCCTAAAGGTGGTTTACCGGTTATGCGAAACAAACAAACTACTCGGTAAGAAGATACAAGGAAGCAGTTGAAGTTTGGTGGCGGCACGGGGATTCCTGGTGCATGACGTCAGACTGTGTTTCGAACCAGAAGCAAAGACGCAAAGACGCAATACGAATATGTCTGAACTCAGAGAGATATCGATTTCAAACCTTACATGACAAAAACAAGTTCAGGCTAGTGTCTAGAGATGGGGATTTCTCGTGCGAAAAGTTCAAGGACTATAGGAGGCTACGTGTACTCTAGCTCTGTAGCTAGGTCTTATACAACAGTATTTTATTAATAAGTTATCATTACTGTACAAGTAACAGCAGCCGTGTAAGGAAGCAAGTATTGGCATTTTAATTTATACTATAAAGGCTTCCACCTACTTTTTTTATTCATAAAAACATAACAAGGACAGTGTGGCGCTGCGCTCAAGTTAACAACTTATATTAACAGCGCCACACAACAAAAAGGTACAATGAACATTTAAATATACAAAGTTGACATCTGTGCGCCGTAGTCCCACCACCCCAAGACATTAAAATGTTAAATTAAATGCTAACAGAGCTATTTGAAAGATAAGATTACATGGTAACCTCCTATATCTCATTGGCGGAAAAACATCCGCCAATCAGAGCTAGGAGGGGAAATTTAGGCCCGTTAACACTTACGTAGTTAACGTTAACGATTCCACCTTTCCCCTGCTGCCTAACCCCGTTATCAATCAATAGAGAGAATCGGTAGCCAAGCGGCTTCTCCAGTGTCCCCGGTGGCAAACGATTTTAGGCCTGGTCGAGACCTTCAAACACTTTCCGCTAGGGGGCAGTCCTGAGCTGCAAATATTCTCCTAGCCAATGGATACAGGCGGCCAACAGGTTAAAGTCCCCTTGCCCCACCGAATCTGCTTGGAGATTACAACTGGCTACACTTGGTTCTCCCTACACCATAGCCAACGTCTGCAGTACCTGTAACATTTTGGCAGGTGGCGCTGCAGCGCCAAGGCTGCTTTCCAAGTGTTTTTCGTGTTTCGTCACGTAAGGACTACAGAAACGTCCTGATGTAACTCCAGACTTTGGTTGCATAAAACGAAGATTAACCATATCCATCCATTTACCAAGCAGATGAAACTATTAGATGCATGTATTATATTACAGTGCGATGTCCAGTGCATGACCTATGGGTCAGTATCTCAATGTTGGTCCGGATCCCTGAAAAGGAGAGAGGTCTGGAATTTCTAACATCAAGTTATGTTCTGGTCAGAGAGAAATGAAAGTCTGCGAATTCCAGACGGTTAACAGCGCGTCTTGTCAATGTAATACGCTACTCATACATTACGTGCACCGTACAAACAATCAGCACACGAGGAACATGTCTGTGTCTGGCCATGCATGTTGCGTGACTGTAACTCTATCGGCCCGTGTGTTGGGTAGAGATTGTATTGGAAACCACGACAGGTGAGACATACCCAGAGTGGGAGGCCTGCATGCCCTTTTTCGTGAGGCGTAATCAGGCCTTTTTAGTCTACGCAATCCGTAGGCTACCCCATGGCCCAAAATCAACGTAATTCGTAATAGAACAATAACCGCAAAGCGTAAAGTCGTAATCAGCTCTGAGACTTTAATTCGCGGAAATTTTGCGTAATTCGTAATCACTACCCCCATGCAGACCCTCAGACTGTACAGCACGGCATGGTGGCTGACATGGGAGACAGCACGTTTGGTATACCTGGCACGGCAAACATCTCATCACCAGAGGCATCCCCTAATATACGTAATGACCAATCAGTTAGGGTTATGGTCTGAACTAACAATATGCCTTCAGCTTTAGTCCATTTGGTCCAGGACCCTGCTTGGTTTTTCACAGACCGTACGGCGCATGTTCCCTTAAAACGACAGGTTGTAATTTACGTATTATTTTATGGATGGCACTCTCTGAACTACAAATCTTATGCGGGATTGTGGATATGAGAATGAAACAGCCTAAAAATGAAAAAGACGGTTTTGCGATTTCGATAACGAGAGCACGAATATTATATTTGTTATATTTGAACAAAAGAAAAATAACCAAGATTGTGGAATGTGGGAGGGTTCTATCAATACTTTGTGAGGTTTTATATAATAGAAACCAATCAGTAATATCGATTATGCCTCTCTATTTTGGGACAAAAGAAACACAAGTTTTGTCTTTTCTTACGCCTGTGTTCCAACTTCCATCCCCAGGGTATTTTCACACAACGAAGATCCTTCTAGAAAGACATGTGGTGGGGTTCTATCAATAGTTTGTGAGGTCTTGTATAATAGATACCAATTAGTCTCTATTATGTCTCTCTATATTGGGAGAAATGAAACACAAGGTTATAATCAACCAAGATTGCCGTCTTTTCTTACGCCTGTGTTCCAACTTCCATCTCCAGGGTATTTTCGAACAACGAAGATCCTTCTAGAAAGAAATGTGGGAGGGTTCTATCAATAGCTTGTGAGGTCTTGTATAATACTAGTAGATACCAATCAGTGTCGATTATGTCTCTCCTTAGCACACGTTTTTCACTTCATTAAGCGGTCTTTGACGGTGCTTGTTAATTATAGAACCTCAGTCAGGCCTCCTAATGAGCCAACTAGTGAGCCTGACGACAATGTGCAGACATGGATATCGTTCAGTAGTTCTTACGTAGCCTCGGGGGATGGTTATATATCCAAAATGTTTCATAACTTATATCTTAACGGGTATCTAAAGGTTGGTCATTACATACGCGGTTTGATCCAAGACTTGGTGGCAGAAGTGACATGTTGTTTTTGACAACCTTAGTATATCGTCCGACAGAGCGACGTAACGTTATGACTCATTCGCGCATGACTACAAGTTCAACGGCCTCTAGGATGAACAGATCTAGATTTCTGAGATAAATTTGGCTCACTGATCGATGCCTTTGCTGTCTCAGTGATTTGTGTGATGGATATCTGCTATCGATGGCTTTATGATATATAGTCAAGTTAGATTATTTTTTTTCGCGATATTCCAATATTTCACATAGTTCTTTCATTGATTTTTTCTTATTCATTTACACTCTAGTTTATGCAGTCATATATAAAAACTTGTACATTATCATGTAAGCCATGTTCCATATATATACATGTACTATATCAACTTTTGAAATAGAAGGTTATTTTCGATACATAAAACTTCTAGGTAATACTGTAGACGTGAGAGTAGATGCTAGCTAGATATGTAGTACTGAAGAGTTTGCCATGCATTGTACCTGTTACAATTGTTGTGCAATTAAGATTGACTTGACTTGACTTTATTCAGCCAGTCATTTTTCGCTAAATTTAGATTCACATCTCCGCGATGCCCCAATTTTCACATCATCCTTTCCCTCATTAGTTTTTTTCTTCTTCATTTATTCAACCAGTCCTTTTATACACTAATCTGAGTGGGGTCGGTAGCGCGTTCGGCTCACACCCAGAGGTCGCGGGTTCGAACCCTGCCCATGTCACCGATCTTGTGCCCTCGGGAAAGGCACTTAACACGAGTTTCCTCACTTCTCTCAGGTGGAAATGAGTACCTAGCTTCGGTTAGGGACGTCCCTCGGATAGGACGTTAAATGCAGGTCCCCACACCCCACGCATGTTAAAGAACCCACCACACTTATCGTAACAAACAAAATCTGTATGCGACTTTCTTCTAAGTAAACGTAACGACGTTACAGTACACGTTTAACCACAATAAAGAAATGCAAACAATTAACGTTATATAACGTTATGAATAACACTTCTGTTCTTTGTGACAATGCCAGCATCTCTTTAGATTTTATGTAAGTTTTTTTTACAGCGTCTTAATCCCCAAGACGACCGGTCGGGCGAACGTTAAGGAGGGTCGGGTCTTAACTTTGTTGTATTCATGTGCGTCGGGAGGCTTCGCAAACACAACACGCTTGCTGATACAACACAATTGTGCTACGCCAGAGGAGCATGTCGCGTCTGTGAGCTAAAGATTTCTCCGTCGACCGAGCATAGCGGAGTGAAGAAGGTGTTGGGCCGGTAACCTTGGAGTGTGGCTGCGCAAACAAGAGACCTCACCAACCCTTTCTGAAGTAGTGTGGTTATGACTGCCAGACGCTAGCCTCCACTAGGCCTTCCTTCGGGGGTATGGATCCTAGAATTCGGTAAAAAAGGGAAATAGTTGGCAGAAGCTAACCTCCACCAGGCCTTCCTACGGGGGTACGGATCCTAGAATTCGGTAAAAAGGGAAATAGTTGGCAGAAGCTAGCCTCCACCAGGCCTTCCTACGGGGGTACGGATCCTAGAATTCGGTAAAAAAAGGAAATAGTTGGTCAGGAGAGTCAGTCCTTTTTTTAAAACTCTACACTGGCTAAACTCTCCTGGTCATTTGGATGTTACAAACTCTATTACATCACATTGTAGGTCTAATAAAAAATTAGGCGATGTCTCAAAATCGTGTATTTGATTCATCAGCTCTTATCTTTGTATAAATTTTGATATTCATCTGGGATTTCTTTCTGTTAAGTATTCCTAATATCAGAACCAACATTAAGTAGAAATGGCCAAGACGACCATAGGAGGTGGTCCACTAGTCAAAAAGCTCTTAGGGCTTAGCAAAAATGACAATGAAGAGTCTTTTTCACATCCTTAAGGCGTAAATATTCCCGTATAGTGCCTTATCCGTCTTAGAAAGATGCTTAAAGTTTTAAGGGATCTTCAGTGTCAAGTTACCACGACGACTAACACTTTCAGATTAGTGAGAGGTTAGGCCACAGCAAGTAATTTTTATGGATGACATCAGCACGCGCTTTAATTTTCGCCTGATTTTTTGGGGAAAAACAAGAAATTTTGTTGCCTTCTGACAGTGGTCAACATGCCGAAAATGGGCAAATATGTCTGTTGCCATGACAGAAGGACAGAAGGTGGATGGCAGATAACTATAAAGAGAGGAGACAAGAAAAGGCTCTGATTTAATGTTGTTTTTTTACTTTGATGCAGTGATATGTGATGTTGGCTGAGTGTATGTGATGTTCCCACTGAATCAAAACCATTTGTACAATGATTGAGTCAAAATTTTAAAGTAGGAACCTTGCTTTTTCGGCCCGCTTTGTTTTTTTTCGCCTGCTCGCATTAGATTTAGAGTCTGCGGAGGATGTCATCCATAAAATTTACGTGCTGTGGCCTAAGGGGAGAAAATTTAAGACGAGGTGTGGTCAGCACACAGTAAGTAGATGACGTCAAGTTTGCCCTACCGGTTTTTTTCATTCTTCCGTTTGAGAATGACGCATTCCTGACAAGTACCCACTCTAACTTCCCATGATGGGGAGAGGTATTTTGCTGTCTAAAATTCAGGGTCGGTGAGCGCTTTGATACCTCAAAACCCTTTTCTCCGTCAACACTATGGTGGTCAGTATGGCGGCGGCCGCCCTTTGATGGGTCGGGTCAGTAGGGTCAGAAGTGGCGAGCATGTGGAATGTTAGTAGCCTCTACCAGGCACCGCGGATCGCTGGAAAAATAGTAGAAATTGGCCAAAATAAAGGGATAGTATACCCGTGGGTCGCACATTGGATCTTCTATGGCCCAGGATATACTTTCCCTTTTTTTCGGCCAATTTCTACTATTTTTCCAGCGATCCGCGGTGCCTGGTAGAGGCTAGTGGAATGTACCTATCAAGACCATGTGTCATATTAAAGGGAAAGCATGAGTGTAACTATAATACTGCTTGGTTTTCTTGTTCACTACCAACCATGATGACTATATATATATCTCCGTTCTTTTTAAAGAAGTGTTAAAGTTGTTGTGGGGTCGTGTAGCGTAGCGGCAGAGTGCTCGACTCGGAATCAAGAGGTCCCGGGTTCGAGTCCTGACATGCCACCGATCTTGTGCCCTTGGGAAAGCGCGCACTTTACATGACTTTCCTCACTTCACTCAGGTGAAAATGAGTATTGTATTGTCCCCTGTGTTGGTGGCGGCATTAATATAAGTTGAAAAACTTGAGTGTGCCGTCACCACGTCCTGTGATCAGATGTTGGAATATATAAAAAATTGTCCTAGCGGGCTCCAGTAGTGAAGGCGCGGTCACTTGTGTTGTACCACAGTATGTGTACAGGTGGACAGATAAAAGTGTCTTGAGTAGAGAAAAGTGTTCCGGGTAGGTGCACTTCAACATTGCTTGCAGGAAAGTCTCCTCTCCCAAGAAAATAACCATCTGTCAATGACATTTTGAAAAGACTTAGGAAGTATAGAATATATCACATATACCAAGTGCGTAGACGTATGTATACAATACAGCTCGAGGTTCATCGTCACCATGCTTACGTGTTCGTTGTTATGCTTTGTTTGTAATGCATGGTTTTGGGATGTTTCTTTGCTCAAAATACCGTCAATACGTTCAAGCAAACTGTTCACAAGCTGTCAGTCAGGCGAGCGAAAATCTTTCGATCCTTGTCGCCCTGTGAAAGAGCGTTGTTCGCCCGCGACATGTGACCAGTTGGGCGCGGATAACTTAGAGATGCGGTCATAAGAAGTTAGGCTTGAGAACACACGTTCGTGTTACTTTACCATGACGGCAACGTCCTATCGGTCACTAGCGAGTTAAAACCCCATTCAAAGGACAAACAAAATGGTTAGATGCCCTTCCTAATTCACTCAAATCTCTCTCTCTCTCTCTCTCTCTCTCTCTCTATCTCTCTCCCTCTCCCAACTCAATTCAATAGATCGAATGCCTTAGGATTGTAAAATAAACAAGCAGATAATCGTACAGAAGAGTTGCTATGTCTCCATGATACAAAGCTACATCGCAGGAAAAAAAAGCTTGTTTCTTTTGCCAGTGTAGCGTGCATGGTTTGCTAGCAACCGCGACACAACCTACAAAATCTGCTCATTCGTGAAATTTAGCAACAATGGTCAGATGCGCTCCAGTTGGAGAATGCCATGGGAGGTAGGGTCTTCAGTGTCCGGAGTTGCGTGAAAGACCACGCCCACATAAGGACCACCAGTGCTTAAAAGGAGCGCGCGCTGCCCAGTCTGGTCATCTCTTCAACTCCCGACTCCAGAAGGAACAGAAGAAAAGTCGACATGCGTGTGTTTGTGGTCGTCGCTCTGGCCGTCCTGGCCCTGACTGAGTCCGCCCCTTCCAAGCAGAAGAAAGGCTTGGGAGGAACGCTGGTAGCGGAACTTCAGAAGCTGGAGGCCGCCAAGGCTAAGGAGGAGGCTGCGGTACGCTCTTCTCTTGTTTTTTTTTTATGTACAGTTTGTATTATCATGACGTGATGTTATCGTTTTTAGAGAGGTTCTTTCTCCAACCTTTTGCTCGGACGGATAAAAGTTTTCAAAATCACAAATAATTCATTGATATAAGTATCACCGCTGGAGAACTTAATAAGTTGAAATGCCGCTTTAGCGAACTTTTCATGGTTCCCATTCGCGACTGCATCCCGTTTCTGTGGCAGGTGCCCCCTTCGCAGGTTTTGCGTTCCGTGTTGTCTCCACTTTCTGGGCATGGGTTGTGTAGGCGCTTACGGCTCTTCTCTTGTTGCCATTAAACTGAGAAAAACACATTTCTTACTATATATATCTCCCCAGTGTTAGAGCTTGGCTTGCCTTACGATCAAAGACTTTTTTTATATTCCAACATGTAGTCACAAGACGTGGTGACGGCACACTCAAGTTTTATCAACTTATATTAGTGCCGCCACCAACACAGGGGACTCATTTTCACCTGAGTGAAGTGAGGAGAGTCGTGTAAAGTGCCTTTCCCAAGGGCACAAAATCGGTGGCATGTGAGGACTCGAACCCAGGACCTCTAGATCTTGTCCGAGTCGAGCACTCTGCCGCTACGCCAAACGACCCCACAAAGACTTTACTACCCCTTTAATTCCAGTTCCAGTCGGGATGGCCTTCACATCTTACAAACCCGCAGGCACAGAGCTCATTATCCCGCACGCGGCTTCGCCGAGTTCTCCTGAGCTTTCATCATCTGTTGATGGCGTCATAAAGTATTCTCCCACGCGTACTCATTTACTCACTCACGTTACATTCTAGGTTAGCTTCAGCTTCTATCCAAATCACGAAATCTCGTATTTCGTCCAGTATTTTGGATCAGCTTTTTTCCGCAATATCGAACTCAATATATTTGTTATTTAGACCTTGCTTCGTGTCTGTTTATTATGTATGCAGAATCCGGATCAACGTGTTAAATGTTGGTCAACTCCGACGTTGTTCCGACGTTGCTCCGACGTTGTTCCGACGTTGCTCCGACATTACTCTATTTTTTTTCACAACCCCAAGATTTCTTCGAGTGCTACAGTCGCTTTTGCTTTATTCCAGATCGCAGACGTGTTTTTGTTAATTTTCGCCTCAGATTCTGTTACTCGTGTTATAACGGGACCGACACACATGCGTGTTGAATTCTTTCCAGACCGTGCACAAATCGCACGTTTGTTCCCATGACATTCACTGTGAAATTATGTTAGCCGCGCAAAACTACATCACAGAAACAAAACGCTTCTAGTTGTATGTGCTATGCTTTCCTTCTCTTCTGGGATGGGAGGTTTGACTCATGCTATCCATAGTTTTTCAAATGTATTGTAAACGCCTTTTTCCATTGTAAAAGTGGCTGCGAGAATATAAGTTGTACCTAACTTGAGTTAGCAGTCACTTAGTCCATGTCCTTTTATTTGTATTCATCACTGTACATGTGATTCTGAATTTAAAAAATTGCACACATCTTAGGTGTTCCAGCCTTTATCGCTCCAGCTAGTCCCATGTCCACACAACTCATTACGCCTCAAGTGTTGCGGCTCGGTTCGCTCATTATCTGCAAGCAAGGGAGCGAGAACCTCTTCTTTGTTTAACAAAGCAAGGCGGGAGAAGGTTTTTAAAGCGTGGCTTAGGTTGCCATGCGTCTTTGCAATCTTGGAGCTGCACTCAAATCCCGGGTTCCAGACTACACTTGGCAGACAGTAAAAAGCTTATGAATGATAAAAAACGATACTATGGTTTTACAACAGCCTGTAACAGATACTGATAATCGTGCCCCCTCACTCAATGGGGAGTGTTTATGTGTCAATGCAAGGAGGTTGATCGATGACGGGTTTTCTTTCTTTCTTTCTTTCTTTCTTGGCAATGACAACAGGTCAAGACACAGGTTATCAAGGCAGTGTTAAACTGGTATTAGATAACCCACATATACGAACGTGGGGGCAAACATGTAATAAGAAATCTACTATAAATATAAGGGTTCTGACCTTCCCTTCCTTATTTCAGGGCGCGGGGCAGAAGAAACGCGAAGAAGGTGATGACTATGGTCTCCCAGGTAAGGAAGAAGACGAAGAACTATCACTTTAAGTCAAACTAAAAGCTTTCATCAAAGAAATGAGTACTGGTTTAGCATGTATATATAACGTCTTCCATGGTCTAAAAAAGAGAAGTCAAACCCCCTATTAGACATAGTTTTAGACATATCTATAGCTCTAGACAACTACCTTTTATCATGTAGATTTTAGTTATTTTATACTACGTTTGATTGATCTTTTATGTTTGTAATTTGCAATTAGCCCGGGCCCGGGCATGAATTCGCAATAAACTTCAGTATATGCGCATGCAAACTATGACTGGAAAAGAATGAAATGTACAAATGTCATATTAGCTCTCTAAACATTTGGTATGATTATTTTCGATGTATGTTTTCAAACCACGTTGACATCAATCTACAGATTATGATGCTACAATGAAAGGCAGGTCTTCACTGACAAACATCGTTACTATCATTATACATGTATGGCGGACGATGTCTTCCAATGCTTTTTGTATATTTGCAGCGTCGATCCCATCTCTGCAAGGTTCCGATCAACAGTTCATTTCCAGATTCAATTTCAATTTATTCAATCCAACAAAATCGTACAAAAGCAGGGAATGCTAATGCATCCCTGAATTATGTATTCGATTTTTACAATTTGTTAAAAAAACAAGACAGGACAGGTACACAGAAACACACTATACGTATACAAATATGTACAAACACCATTCACTCTACAACAGGAGATAGCCGACATAGGTTTTCAAATATCAGTCATTGTCACTGTCATTGTAGAGTCTTACTGCACAATGTAATAAAGACTTTTTCAGGCGTAGAGTCCTAGCCTTAGGCAAAGTGAACATGTTGCTGTTCCTGAGCTGTCTCCCTGTAGCAGTCGCACATTCAGGGGGAACAAGGTACCTCGAGTCCTTGCCCCCTTCTCCTCTCTTTACTCTTAGAGTCTAGTGGATGAGAGTAGTCTCTCACCCTCCCTACTTTCATTGTTTCAGACGTGGAGATCGCCTTTGACGGGAGCGGTTATGCCTTCCTGGGGGCCCGTCTGGAGCCCTACGCCGCTGTCTGGCTGGTGACGGCTGCCGAGGAATGTAAGTTTAGACATTGCAGCTTTTCGTATACGTTGACTCATTTTTTTAAAGAACGGTAGTACTTACTGCATTGTGTATCAGTTATGACAGATAAGACATGTTTAAGTCAACAATCAGCAAAGCGTTACGGGCAGAATTGGCGTTGACCGGTTGTTCGCTTTGAAATATATTCATTGGAATGAATTTATGTATCATCCAGCTCTTGATAGGAGTTTTCACCGCAAAACTGTCCTATTTTGGGTAAAATTGAATGCAAGCTTTCCTTCACAGTATCAAAAATAAAGCTTTGATTCGCTATTTCTAAACGTGTTGTTATTTTTACTAGCTGACGGCTGGATTGCGGAGGGAGTAAACATCTACCGTGAGTATTGCATTTCATTCATAGTAAAGTCTTGTAGAATGAATGAACCTTATTGCTCGACAATCGTACATGGTACAATGTGTGGCAGTAATACAACACTACAAAACTAAACTATCTTATTACATTTCTTACTACAAACTACTATCTATACAGTATATGAGTTACAATATGTTCATGTATTGATGATATGGTCTCGCTTATGAAATAAAGTGTACAGAAATTGACCTACGTAAGCAGATATGGTAGTAAGACATGACAATAATTCATGGAATGTATCGTACTGTGTACTAGATTGGGTTGAGTGAAAGTACATACATCGACTATTATACAATCTACAATTTACCTTTTCTAGTTGCGGTACATTTTTTGTCAACATGACAGACAACACAACAAAAAAAAGTGATGAATTTTCAGGCGTATTGAAGATGACTCAACATATTGTGCTGAATTCGTAACGTACCAAATGTGTACGTTCCTCAGACATGGGGGCGTTCTTCTTTGAGGGGAGGGACGACTGGATGATGGGATACCTCATGTCAACTGACGAGGCTATCGCCGCTGTGGCCTGCCTGTACGGAGGTAGGAAGAATGTATACAATTTATATTTGCGCGCACGCGTTTGTATGTATGTGATATGTAATGTGTGTGTGTGTGTGTACGTGTGTGTGTATGTCGAGTGCGCGTGTGTGCGTACATGTATGTATGTGTGTGTGTGTGTGTGTGTGTGTGTGTGTGTGTGTGTGCGCGCGCGCGCGTGTGTGTATGTATGTGTGCGCACGTTCGTGTGTATGTATGTGTGCGCACGTTCGTGTGTTTTGTATGTGTGCGCACGTGTGTGTGTATGTATGTGTGCGCACGTGTGTTTATGTATGGATGTGTGCGCACGTGTGTGCGTACATTTGTGCAACTGCTTTGCCGTATGGACCAAGCTGGTAATGCCATATATTATCTCTCTCTTTTGCAGCTGACCCACCACCATGCTCTTACGATGGAACTGGATGCGACATTTCAGGTATGTTCGGCGTTTTACCTGTCGCGAAGTGTCAATAAACACCTTTCAATTGATTAATTAAGAGTTAATCACCCGCCCCGAGGTGAATATGGTGTGATAAAGCCTTGTTAGTTGCTATAACCACCGAATAAAGCCACCGAGTGAGTGCAGCGAACGAGGATCTACTAACGGTGGATGCCCGTCCGTTCTAAAAGTTTAATAGTCAATGTGAGTACGTACTAACATGGATGCCGTCCGATCCAAAGTTAGTCAATGTGAGTACGTACTAACATGGGTAACGTCCGTTCCAAAGTCAATGATGTGAAGTACGTATTAACATGTATGCCGTCCGATCCAAAGTCAATGATGTAAGTACGTACTAACATGGATGCCGTCCGCTCCACCAGCCTACCTCGCCACCCTTGCCGGCAGGGACGACCTGGCCATCTCCGGGTACGGCATGTCCATGGTGGACGCCATCCCCATGGTCGGAGCGAACATCGACGAGAGTGAGTACTGCTGAACTAACGGGGATCGCTTTAGACTCTGTAATCACATGTATGTGATGTACTGTCGTACATAACGGGACCCATGTGTTTGTAAACAGATACCCTTTCGTGATAATCTTATCATTCATTTATTGTCATACCCATTACCATACCAAGTGGTTCTAGTGTTGAAATATTCGTCATTAAAAAGTACTTCTTTATTGCTAGCATAACAAGGATTAGAGGAATAAATCATCAACGTTTGGGTTGTACATTCTGCGCCAGACAAATAATACATGCCGTTTCTTTATATTTCAGATGGTGTGATCGACGAAGCTGGTAAGTTTTATACGTTATTAGGATTACTTTATCAGCTTCTTTATGTTCAATAGCAAGATGGTCAGTTTAGAGTTTTAAAAATTTCTCTAAAGAATTTATTTAGCGTCACAGTATAATAGTCCCTACGACTGTATACTCCTATATATACAATAGAAATAGCTAGGGGTAACTCCCAGTATATGGGACCAAAATCGTAATATTCAAAACTGCTATCTGACAGTGTCGATGTTTGATTTTTGATTTGATTTTATTAGTTTGCACATAAACAAAACAGACAATAATAATAATACAAAACATGGATAAAACAGGTGCAGGAGGAGGGGAGAAGCATGGAATGCTTATACAAGGCCCTCCTCCTCTAAACTATACAAAATTAAATATAATCAATATGTTGCCCATATGTGTTATACATGTCTGTCAAAGCCATATATTGTATATCTTTACATCGCAGGTGTGCATGCGGCTGCTGCGGAGAAGGGCGAGTACCACGAGGGACACCTGGTGCTGTACGATGACGCCGTGGCCGGAGTGTCCGAGGCTCTCGGCGGTAAGGCTATATCCTCTCCTCCGCTCAACTTTCTGAATATCGCCGGTATAACATACTGGGTATAGCCAGCTTTCGGCGTAACACACCAACTTCTCAGACGCGCAGCACGCCGGCAGTAGCTAGTTATACCGTGGTTATACTTTAAGTTCACGGTAGCCAAATTTCACGGTCTGAGAAAAATGGACATGTTCATGGAACTATATGTTCACTGTGGTGACAGGTGCAGGAAAAAGAACGTCCAGGAATGATTTGTTAACCGTATTGATACGTTCACTGTACAGAAGTGACAGTGAAAACAGTGAACATAGATTTAAAGTACAGTGAAAAATCAGGACTTACAGTACAACACTGAACGACCTGTTTGTTACACCTGACCTAGCTTTGCACATCTAACTGTAACTTAGTGTAAGCGTTGTTAAATTAGAGCTCTCTGGTGAATATGCACGTGCTGTACATAGGTGGGAGCGATATTTCCACCACTGCACGAAAAGTTGGATTTACCAAAAGTAGTAAACTCAGGTAATGTTTACTTATTGGCTTAACAATTGTAGTAGATAAAAGTCTAGTCCAGTGATTTCATTTACAATCTCTCTTAAGTCCAGAGTCACATAGACTTTTATTTACTACCATTGTAAAGTCCAGTAGTGTTTATTTTAAAAAATAAACAAAGTAAACATAACCTAACTTTACTGGTGAATCCAAGGTTTCGTGCCGTGCACTTTACGACATTTAATATCGAAAAAGAGTGTTTGAACTCCTCATTACCTGGTTGATAACTCTGGAACACGAAGGCATGACTATTTCTTATCCTTACTGAGTTGGTACTTAAACCGTCTGTCACGTTGTTTGGGTTTTCTATTTGTTCACAACGAGTTGTTTCATTTTCTCTTGTAGTTGACTCCCCGATACCGGAGAAGAAGGAGGTGGCCAAGAAGAAGAGCACAGAGGTATTTCATTCATTCAATATATCAGCATCTGTACGTACATTATTTATATTTACCGAAGGAAAACATATTGTTTTTGCTCTGTTTCTTCCTCTTCTTCTCCAAACAGTGACCTCTGATCTGACCAATGACATGATTTATTGACGTCTGTCACCATGGTGACTGGTGTTGGCTTACATAATGTTGCAATTTCATGGTCTGCTCTGCTCCTGTCACCATATACTAGTAGTACATGTAAGTGAATGTGTTTGAGTAAGAATTAACAGAGCAGACCATATCCAAAGGTAAAAATTATACAGTAATGGCTTTGCAAATATTACTTCTCTAAGCTTTCATTTCTAATTCTATTACCTTCAACGCCAAACAATTTCAGTAAATGGTACTCAGAAAGACTATAGTACGACAATCGTGTCTTATTTTACCTACAGATTGCCGAAGTGCTGCAGAAGCTCCGTGAGTACGTCCGCGACCTCAACAACCGGAAGTAGAAACCTGGACTGACCCCTGACCCGGAACTGATTGGAGAATAGACATAGACATCAACACCTGTCTCTCATCATTTTTTTGAGAAGGATTTTCGACTCTGATAAATGGATTACGAATAGTGAAATCTCCGATCTTTTGAATTGATTAGAAATTGTAATATTTTAGATGAATTTTTTTTTTCTTAGCTGTACATACTGCAGCAAATTGACTCTCCTCTATCTCTACCATTGCGAATTGTACCACCTACCAGAGTGCATGATACTTCGCTGATACTTGAAATTTGATATTTTCTTTATCTTTCACTAGAAATAAAAAAGCATCTCACTGCAAACTGTTGTTTGTTTCTTTGTAAGACTAGAAACACTGTAGCTCTTAACTGCATCGAATGCTATAGATTAAGTGTAATGCCTATGTTAGAAGCGAAATAAAAATCAATATGAATATCAGGTTGGCACTAGGTACTTAAGAGGTAAGTGGTGACTTCGAATTCCTTTTACTATTATTAATACAGCAGGACGAAAATGAAGGAAAGCATATTAGTCATTTCTTCCCCTTTCAAACATATGTGGACTTAGAAATGCACCATGGTAGCCTAGCGACTACTGAATGTAGCATGCAACAAACCAAGGAGCTTTCCTTTGTCCTTGAACAAACAAAGCATTAGTCCAGACGCCAGGCTAAAACATGGCCGCAATGGCCATCCCTCGGGGTGCCAGGTATCTGTGATTCAAGCTTGGAGATTTTTAAAAGCTTAAAAGCTTGAGATTTCATTTTTTACCGCTTTTAAATGGCATTCGGGTGTGACAGTCAACCCAGCCATTGGCCAATAATAACGTGGTCTTCGAAGTGTGGAGAAATGTTCGTGGGAAAGTTTTTTTCGGTCCCTCAGGCGGCAGTGCCTCACTACCGTAGACTTTACCTAGCGATTCGAAATCCCCCGAGAATTTTTCTTTAGGCCGCAGCAAGTAAGTTTTATGGATGACATTCTCATTAGATTCCAAATCTAATGCGAGCGGACGAAAAAAACAAGGCGGGCCGAAAAAAAAAGTTCCTACAATATTCAAAATTTTGACTCAATCATTGTACAACTGGTTTTCATTCAGTAGGAACGTCACATATACACAGCCAACATCACATATCACTGCATAAAAGTAAGAAACAAAACATTTAATCAGAACCTGTTCAGGTCTCCTCTCTTCAAAGTTATCTGCCATCCACCTACCGGCATGGTAACATACATTTTTGCCCATTTTCGGCATGTTGACCACTGTCAGAAGGCAACAAAATTTCTTGTTTTTGTTTCCAAAATCAGGCGAAAATTAATGCGCGAGCTGATGTCATCCATGAAAATTACTTGCTGTGGCCTTAATCCTGTATCCTATTGAAACTGTCGGCGACTCCCATGTCCATGATCCTTCCTTCCCATATTGCATTTTTGGGCTTTACTGTCAAAGATTTGTTGTCTTTAGTCCCATTTCACTGATCCTCGTCCTTCCCTCGACCCTTGCAGAGGTTTTGTTGCGAGAATTCAAGACACAAAGAGTTTGAGCTGGGCTTACTGTCAAGATTGTTGACGTTTCCAATGTACCGAGACTAGCGAGGATTTCAGACCACCTTTTCAAAGGCTGCTGTGCCAGTACAAACAAACGCACACACAGAGGAAAGTGACTCACCTGAAACCTGTCAGCTGTCACGGAGGAATGGTTCGGTACGGGACTAGTGACCAAGCGTGTCATGGAGAGAGAGAGAGAGAGAGAGAGAGAGAGACAGAGAGACAGAGAGGCAGAGAGACAAAGAGAGAGAGAGAGACACATAGACAGAGACACAGAGAGAGAGAGAGAGGGAGAGAGAAAGAAAGAACGAAAGAGAGAGAGAGAGAGAGAGTGTGTGTGTGTGTGTGTGATAGAGAGAGACAGAGTGAGACATTGACACAGACAGAGAGAAAGAGAGAGAGAGAGAGTGTGTGTGTGTGTGTGATAGAGAGAGTGAGAGAGAGAGAGAGAGAGCAATTAAGAAACGTTCTCACTTTCAGCAGATAAAGGGGTCCTCGAAAATTTAATGAAGCCCTATACAGAAGCATGTGATTCATACAAGTTGTATGGAGCTTAAGATGCAACCCCCACACATATAATCCAAGCTCGTTATCAGTAATGAGCCATCGTTAGTTCTATATAAGGGATAGAAATTAGGTCACACTCCGGCTCGTGGCCTGTGTTTCATAATATTTTTATAGAAGTGATGCATAGAAACATTCCAGGTGGAGTTGAATGTCTTGTTTGTTTGTTTGTTTATGATTTGCACAACAGCAATAAAAATTATACATAACAAATTAATTATGGATAAAAAAGGTGCAGGAGGAGGGAAAAAAAGCTTATTTAGCTTATGCTAAGCCCTCCTCCTCTATACTAACCAAAACTAAACATAATTGAATTGAAATAAGGCATATACATACATAAGGAATTGTTATCAAAATAATTCATACAAGGGCAAAATGATACAATAACAATAATGAAACAGTAGTATACATAAATTGAGATGAAATGAAATTGATATGAAATAATACATACATACATAAGGAATTGTAAGCATAACAATTCAAATATAGGCAAAATGAACAATAACAATAATGAAACAATAGTGTACATAAATATACAGTACAATTTTACGGAATACAGTACACTTCTATTAGTATACAGTACAATTTTACGAAATACAGTGCAATCGTATTAGTAACAATCAGTGCAATTTTACGGAATACAATCCAATCGTATTAGTATACAGTGCAATTTTACTAGTGAAATTGCACTGCATTCCGTAAAATTGCACTGTATACTCTGGCACCCCTGTGAAGCGCATGGATGTACAATAAAGGTTGTTGCTTATTCTAATAATATCTCTGAGACAGCATCTGTATCTACAAGTCTTTTCCATCCTTGTAGATTGTGTGGAAAGGACTTTTCACATGTTTATTGTTCGCCTGGCATCGCTAGCCTCCACCAGGCCTTCCTACGGGAATACGGATGGTAGAATTCGACAAAAACAAGAGAGTAAAATTGGCCAAGGGAGTCCGGCCGCGGGGAGATAGTTTCTTTCCCTCCGCGCGGCCAGTCAAACCTACAAGGCGGCCAAACTCCCCTGGCAAATATTCTCCTATATATAGCCAGCGTAGTTAGTCTGGTAAAGACTATCGCTATGCTGACATGTTCTTTCTTTGTTCGACAGTCACTCACCACTCACCCGTATCACAAGGTCACAGGTGTGGAGAAAGACGCGCCCTTCTGCAGCTTATGTAGCGTGTAAGTCGCTTTGGCAACCAAAGACGCAAATCTTGATGTTTATCCCTAGTTGGTGAGGTATAATCTTGTGACTTTCCGTTTGCGTAAACTCCAGGTACGCACTGATTGGCCGTTGCCATTTTAAGAAAGGGCGCACCCACCTGTACTTACGTTCTACCTGTACGTAAGTTCTACCACACAAGCACCGAACTTCTACCTCGCCCGTACCAGAAGAACGAGATCAAAATGCGCCTGCTTGTGTTTGCGGCTCTGGCCGCCGCCTTGGTACTGGCCGAGTCCGCTGCTCTGGACAAGAAAGACCTCAGCAAGGTGTTACTGCAGGAACTTCAGGAGATGGTCTCTGCTAAGGAGAAGCAGGAACAGGTGTGGTACTGCCTTCTTCCATGAATTGTTCTCTAACTTATTGTTCTCTAACTCACTAATACATTCGTATCTTGTTATTGGATTGTGTTGTTATTTTATGCCCGATGTTGCATTCGAACGTCTGGGTCGACCAACGAAGTACAGTATACACACTCAGGTTCAAGGTATGGGAGAACATTCGCCTCGCCCGCCTGGTACTGATTCGCTGGGTTGTAACTCGAATTTCGAAGAGTGATCTCAACTTGACATAGGCGTATGGAATGATACCCTGCGTACCAGCTCTTGCAAACTTGATTTTTGGACTGCCGCAAAGTTCGCTTTCTAGTAACCCTGTATCAGGCCAGAGAACAGAGTTTTGCATGGTTGAGCGGGATGGCTCCCTGTGTGGCACACGGCATAGTTCTGCTGCACAGTCACACACGACACGCTTCGACGAGCATGTCCGTGCCATGGTCATGTTGACTCAGCCAACAACCGCATGTCAGCATAATCTCCAAGCAGATATTTAGGTGGCCGCAAAAGACAGTATCAAATTGGCCATTCAACCAGTTGGGTGGCAAATGGATGCAGTCTGGCCAATGGATACAGGCCTGGCCAACTTGACACTGTCTTTTGCGGCCTCTTAAACATCTGCTTGGAAATTATGTCAGAAGTGCTAGAGTCAATTTGCTCCCGTTATGGCAGGTTTGCATTTTCTCTTTTGATACCGAAGAGCAGACGAGAAGATAACAAGAGATGAGTTACTGACATGCTTGTCTCTATCCTCAGGCCCGGCCCAAGGGTGACCAGGATAAGAGGCAGGACGACGACGATGGACTCCCAGGTAAGACGATAGCATTCTTCAAATCCTGATCTTCTTTTTTAGTATGTACAAATTCCAAATGTGTAATAGGCAGAACCCTGGCACATACACTGGGCCGGTATACTGTTTTGTCAGCGTAGATTTAGGAAGCGTATCTCTGAGTTTGAAAACATTACCGTATATCAGTTACCAAGTCCACGAAACAAGTGATGCATTTAACCCACATGATGTTTCAATTTTATTCTAGCCATGTCGCCAATTTCACTCAAGATACTGATATATAAATTACAAAGGTGTAGATAATCGATGAATGATAAGTGTGCCCACTGCACTATAGTTTAGTTGGCTGCTTGAAAGAATTAGAGCTTCAACGCAAGAGCTTCAACCCTTACATCAAATATTATTCATAATCTTGCCATTAGTATGTGATGGTTCGAATAACTCGGGAGCTGATGCTCAACTCGGATATTTCAAACACTACTAGTATTTGTTTCATTCATTCATTCATCCATTCAAAAAATCATTCATTCATTCGTTCGTTCGTTCATTCATTCGTTCATTCATTCATTCGTTCATTCATTCATTCGTTCAATCAATCATTCATTCATTCATTAAATAATTCGTTCATTCATTCATTCATTTATTCATTCATTCATTAAATAATTCGTTCGTTCATTTATTCATCCATTCATTAAATAATTCGTTCGTTCATTCATTCATTCAATCGTTCGTTCATTCATTTATTCGTTTATTCATCCATTCATTCCTTCATTCGTTCATTCATTCATGCATTCATTCTTTCTTTATTTATTTATTTCCTCTCATAGGAGCGCAGTGTCACACTAATACAAAATAATAGTAACTTTACACGTGCTAATTAAAATATGTTAAATATATCTTGTAGGATAGGATGATCAAACGATCATAATGTCGGCCATTAAAAGTTGTTCACTTTACGTCACGTATTACGTCACACATTCATTCACACATTCATTCATTCAGTAATTAATTCGTCCGTGCAGGCCATCATTCACCTACAAAATGTATCTGTTTGTTTGTTCGCTCATCAATTTGTCCGCTTCTTTTCAGACATGCACGTGATATTTGAGGACTGCCGTGACCGCGCGTTTATCGGTGTCCTGCTCTCTCCAGACGAGGCCGTGAGCCTGGTGCAAGCCGCGGAGCAGAGTGAGTTTCAGGCTCTCATTATCAATCTGTATCGGTATCTGTATAGCCGGTATAACCGCCCTTCGGCGTAACATACCAGCTTCTGTATCTGTATAGCCGGTATAGCCGCCCTTCGGCGTAACACACCAGCTTCTGTATCTGTATAGCCGGTATAACCGCCCTTAGGCGTAACACACCAGCTTCTGTATCTGCTTAGCTTAGCTTTG